GTATATGGAGCCAAGTTGAACGAGCTAGAAAGGATTGTTCCCCTGTCCCTGCATAACAAGAACCAGCACATTCTTCATGCACAATGCAAAAGCATTGTCATGAAGAAGGATTTCGAAGTCCATAAAAACCTATGTAACATGCAAATAGGTAAGGACTGGATGAAACATTGGCTATGCGACAAATCCTTCGAAAAACGAAGCTTTTATCTCCATCTACGTCAATGTCAATATAAGGACTGGATGGAACCAGAGCAGTCCGAAGAATCTGTGGGCTAAAACCTTGTATTTATCACCATGCTGGAAAACATCTTGGACAAGCTGGCAGCAATACCCATAAACACTACCAACCTTTAACTTTAATTTTCAATCCTTGTGTTTTTCCAAAAAAAAATGTGTATAGTAACTATTTTAATAGTACATATATATTACCCGTTCTTACCATCCTTAATCATTCATGTTTATTCATTCTCACTGGACATATAATTCCCGAGGACGGTAATCATCTGTGACGTGTTTTCGAGTAGGCACACACGTCGTTAGTGTCCTTTTAGCAAACGAGTGACACTGCAACTCGATGTGGTGAATTGCTGCATGTATGAGGCCCCGCTGACTTAACGCTCGCAAGTTAATTATTAAATATATTTTATGTATAGGTATATTTATGGGACATAAATATTAAAAAAAAAATCAAATAACTAGAATATATTTATATAGAGGTCCTTCTACTACTATTGCAAATATAGGCACGATTATTAATATATGTATAATAAAATAATTATATAGATCGAAACTCTCATTAGTCTCGACTCTACTGGTTAAAGACAAAGGTATTAACTGTAGTAATAGGGCTGCGATTTAATCTATTGAAAAATTATTCGTAACAATAAATATACTACTAAATTTATATATATTTCCGAATTACAGGTAACAATCTATTCGTTAAGGAAATTTCTCTTGAAGCCGATTTATCGTTGATTTAATTATAATTATGTATAGTTGAAGTTAAAGCTTACTCAAGAGTTTTAGCAATTTGGAACCGAGTTCTTTTAAATATAGTTAAAATATTGCAGACGTACTATTTATCCTGTACAAATGTATATCATGTTATCTGGGAACGTGCTTAATTTTTAAACACTTCGTCAGCGTAGGCTATCATACTATGTAATTGAAAAGATCATATTACGCTGGTCCGACCGGTATTTATGACAATAAATGAAAAGAGTCGCGAGAGCAAAATACCAAAGCCAAGATAGTTAAGAATTTAACGATCGCATACACATCTACATGAATATATATGTAGTTATACACAAAATGAATACGTGGAATTTGCCAAATGGTAATTATTCCAAATATTATTATTATTATAGAGAAATAGGTAAGAAGAAGACAGTTTTATAATAATGAAACTTGAGTTACTTACTTGTTAAATGTTTATTGGTTATTATTATTAATAGACTTGTCCTTAAATTTATATAGTTGTATATATATGTGTATATTGTTAGAATATTTGTCCAAGAAATATAATCTTTTATTTTGACTGGTCCTTGTAATAACTATTGTCCTTGCAATAAGTAATTGTACTAGAATTCGTCTGATCGTACGCTATATACGTATATATATATATATATATATATATATATATATATATATATATATATACGTTTATTATTGCTGTTACTTTCGTCACGCGTATACGATAATCACTGATAAAAAGAATATAAATATACTGATTTTAGGAAATAATAATAATAGAAACTGGTTGACAAGAAACTGAGATGAAAACTGTAAAAAAAAGCGAATAAAAATTGTACGTAATTCTGAAGAGGATTTGAACTGTAACACGACTGGACGTGATTAACTCTGGCTCGAGACTGCTTTTTTTTAGGCGTGGGCGATACAGTAATGCAGCGCGAGAGTGTTACTACGCCGTCACTGCATTACTACGAACCGCCCACGCGCGCTGAATGCGTACGACTATAACGCGCCGCGCAATTATACATAATACTAATACATATATAAAAAAAAATTGAATTTACAAGTTGTCACTTAACATACATGCAGAAAATATATGAAAAAATAGAAAATAAGAGTTTGTACAGGATTATATTAGTGATTCGCCTAGTACTACTTCAGAGAGGAGTTTTGATGTTAATGAAGTAGATAGTAGCTAAAGTTCAACGATTTATGCAGAAACATTGTTACTATATTTATTATTTTCATGTAATTCCTGATATTAATTTCAAGTAATAATCTTTTTAATTATCCTATGTAGCTTTGATATTTGCATAAATACTTTTTGAACTTTCACTTCTTGTTTTTTAGTCGATATTTATTTTTATAAGTCATAATGCTGTCCTGCTTTTTTTGTATATCAACGTTTTCATCATTAACTGTTCTTAAAAATCATATAAAGACTATTCATAAATCATTAATTAATGAATGTAGTCTTTATCGACACATAGAACAAAATCACGACATTCAAAAGTTTACAGTTGTCGAGTCAGTTAGTGATACTCAGCATGTTCAAATTACCGATCGTAATTTATTTCTTCAAGTAAACAATCAAAGCAATTATTCTAGTAAGGACGCTCAAGTGTTAGATAAAAATTACGCGAACGTTATAAAACCGGACATTACTGAATTTGATATTAATGATTTTATAATATTAGTTTTCATTCGCGCATTACGTTTTGTAACGAAATTGTACGCACTTAATAGTTTGAGTAAAGTAGTGGTACATTTGATACTTACTGAAATGCGTGAAAGTTATCTGAACGAATGTTTACAATTTTTAAAGTTGAAATTAACAAATAATTCTGAAATTATTCAAGTAGTTGATATTATTGAAAATGGATTTCAAGAATTTAAAATTGAACATAAAACTATTGAGTATTAGAAAAAAATTAAGTGTTTAACGAACCACTATCAATCACGGTTTCTAATTACTTGAAATTTTCTAAAAAATTGCGTCGAAATATGGTTTACAAAAGTACTGTATCTGTAATTCTCATAAATAAAGTTTTGGCAAAATTTTTGAATTTGCCAGGTATTTTTGAATCTATAATACAATGTATTCGAGAAAATAAAAATAAGCCATATTCAACATTTTTTAAAAGTAATTATTGGAAAACTATTGAAGAAAAGTATCTAAATGAAATCGTTCTGCCTTTAATTCTATATTTTGAGGATTTCGAAATTAATAATTCTTTAGGATCTCGAAGAGGAATGAATAAAATAGGGGTAACTTATTGTTCTATTTTAGGTATTCCACTGAAATTTGCTAGTATGTTAGAAAATATTTTTTTATTTCAAATTCAGAAATATGATGATCATAAAAAATTAGGGAACCAAAAAATCTTTTCTAACATTGTTCCGAAGCTCACTGAACTAACAAAAAGTGGCTTAACCATTAATATAAATCAGAAAAAAATTAAAATATATTTTGTTTTAACATTTAGCGTTAGAGATAATTTAGGCTTAAATACTATTTTAGGCTTTAGTATGAGTTTTAACAGTAATTATTATTGTCGACTATGTTTTATTGAAAAAAAAGGTCTAAAGACAAGCAAAAAAGAAATAGCAAATTATTTACGAAATACAACAAATTATAATGAATATATGAAGAATAAAAGCCTATAGGTAATGTGATGTAGTAAATTATGAACAAACAATTTAAAGAAACTAACAGTAGAACAAACCCTTTGGTGAACAGTAACTCAATTAAGGGGGCTCCAGCGCGGAAAGTTAATATATCAGTAATAGTGATTTCGATAGATTAGATTGAGATATTTCATTTTAAAATTTACACGTTTAACATGTCCTCATATGGAACCCACCGCGGAAAAGATTTAAAATTGATTCGTTACTAACCTTAAATGAGTAGTTATAAAATAGAAAAGTCATATTCTTATAGATTAAGAATTCAGCTTTCATATGGTATGTTTAAAAGTATATTATGAAAATTGTTCAACAAATTTATTAGGCTCTCGGATATCCGGCGATTGAACGGTAGCCATATTTGTTTTGCTGTTAAAGAAAGTCGCACGAGTTTGAATTATGCGAAATATGTTACATATTCGCAATTAAAAGTTTTCATGACTTGCGGCTGAATATTTCGGTAATTTCAAATTTAATAAATAATACAGCTCGTGACTGCGCAATACGCAATTAGGTTACGTTAGATATAAATAAACATTTCGTATTACCCACATGCAGTATCAATAAAAGTTAGTTGTTGATTGGCTCATTACAAAAAAAGATCAATTTGGAGACTATTTATTAAATTTATAAATAAAGTCTGTCATATTGGTGGCTACTTTTGAATAAATACTATTTCAAAAATAGTTATAAGATTTTTTTATACTAAATATACTCCGTTGTTCAATTTTATTTGTTTAAGCTGTTTTGACTTTTGCTGTAGTCACTGGAGCCTCCTCAAATAACTTCTACAGGTCTTAATTTGAGGGATCAGATCAATAATATTTTTATTCATTTATTTGAAATTCTTTTATTTTTTAAAATCAACGTAATGTCGTTTATCAATGTTGATTTTAGTTGAAGTTTTCTTGTTTTGATAAATTTTCTCGGTTTGCCGTATACAAATGAACCACATTGTTTACTTGCCTCATGAATTACCGCGTATTGATTTGCACACGCAAATGAGAAAAGGTGTCCGTGTTCAAATCTCTTTGATTGTCACAGCTTCTTCGTGAATTTGTCTCAAAATAACCTTCAATATTAAAGAGAATTTCAAATAAGCGAAAGATTATATTTATGTTCGCAGTGATTATATGTATATTCTAATTGTTGTAGATGCTGAGGATTGTTGAAAAATATTTTTAAAGATAGATCAGTTAGAATCACTTAATTACAAAATTCAATTCAATAGTTCAAAAGAGGTTAGAATAAGTAATTTGATGTCTAACAATTAGCTGTATGAATAACGAGGAATCAGCAATACAAATATTTAGAAAAAAGGGTTTAAAATGGGCATTCAGTAGAAGTGAGTCTATGTTGATAATTTATTAAAGTAATACATAAAATAGTATATTGTCTTATTTAGTTGAGTATATTGTTATAACAATTTTTAGCTGAAATAGCGGTGATTTTAGAACAAGTAGTATGAACGAAATAAAACAAATTGTTGTGTAGTATTAAACAATATTGATCAACAATAAATAGATTGAAATGTGATATGTTGTCGATTCATAATGACAAAACAGATAAATATTTTAAAAAGTCATGCACCACTGTTTTCTTTGATAAAATAATTTTTGCTGCTTTGAAATGCTGATCCGTGTTTTTATATGTCCCAGAATGCCTTGCAGGCAACGAGAAGTCGGTGATAGTGCAGATGATCATTCACGAAGATGTTCAGTGTGAACAAATCGCGTAGAGTTCTTCAATTTTCTATTTATTCTTCACCCCCGGCTCTATCGCACAGCCGTTTGAGAAACGCTAAAACACAATTTTAACCAATTCATCTAACTTTCTTTCATTTTTTGCTTCTTACATAAATCAACATTTAGAATTTATTGTTGGAAAAACATAGATAGATTTTGAACAGTGAGTAGCAAAATAGTTATTGAGCTGCATCCCTGTTGCGCTGCACCCTGCGCTCCCGATAAACTGCAATAGACGAGACAATAAGCAAACTACTGGCTAAGAAGAAAGTACAAATTTCATTAGAATTTCTTTTCCTTTGCTAGTATTTATCAGGCTTTTGAAAATGTTACTTTTGTAATATTCTTTACTATTGTACTTTTATCTTGGAATGAAACCGAAATCGTCAATCGAAAACATCAATTACGATTGATTTCAAGAAGCTTAAGCAGAAAGAGTAGCGCAGTTGAATGTCTAAAGGGCAGGTGATAAGGTTTACTCACGCTAGGCGATCCATCCGTTGGTGAATATTCCAGCTTACGACATTAGTTTCTTGACAAATGCTGTAAAGTTACAGGTAGGGGAATCAAACTTAAGGGATTAAATACATCGGTTGGAACTCCTTTTCTTTAGGACTATGTGTTACTTGCGGAAGCCAATTGTACATATTGAATTATTTCCCTCGATCGTTTCAATGAATAAATCAGGTCTGCAGATACTGCGTTTTTAATGACACTGTCCGATGTTATGAGGATTCATGAACAGGAATTACATGAATTCGATAAATCTTTTAATAAAATTGTAATGGATATTTTAGACGTAAAGAAATCATGAATACATTTTGCTAAGATAGATTACGGTTACAGAGTATAATGATTAGAATTACGTAGGGAAAACTATTAAGTTAACCGGTAAATTGATACCAAAGTATTCTATGCAAGAGCAATTATTCAATTAATAAAATGCTCGATACATACGTGCATATGGGATGAAACCGTCTTCATCTTCTGGGTCCATACATTCTTTCAGAACGATTTCGACTTCGTGGTCTTCCAAACGCTCACCTGATTGAATAGTATAGTGATTGAATATATATAGTGATTGAAAGGTAACATAAAATCATGGAATGTCGTCAATTTCCGCAAATGAAAAAATGAAACATGTTTACCTAAAGACAACAGAATGTGAGAAAGTTCTGCTCCCAGCATTGTGCCGTTTTCCTGTTTGTCGTATAATTTCAGACATTCAATGAAGTCTTCGTAGCAACCCTGTTCCTTGTCCTTTTTGACTTGGCTGAAGATTGGCAGGAATTCTTCGAGTGTCATGGTCTTTTCACCTCTCTTCTTCGTACCACCCATCTTTTCGATGGTAGCATTGGTTGGGTTCAAGCTCAGTGCGCGAAGAACATTACCAAGATCAACTGCGTCGATAACGTTGCTGCCGTCGGCATCATAAATGGAGAAAGCGAATTCCGCCTCTACAGAAATTTGTTTTCATAAGATTAAGTTAACTAATTTATGTTAAAAGCATGTCAGTAGATCTATAATAAATTAATTTGTGAAAATACATAGGTACACTATGTTTCTTCAAGCGCAGTATGCGCTCTGAATTAATGAGAAAGATTATGTACGGGTTTGCATTGCGAACATTCAGTATATAAGCAGCATTGATTAAAAGGTAATGGATCTTTTATAAGTCTAGAAAACAACTAGATCATGCTATTTACTTGACGCGCCGTTTTTCATCTATTTATTTTGTAATTATTCTTATAAATTAAATTTCCTATGATTATTGAGAATTATCCATTGAGTTATATATTGCAAACTAAAAATTGCCTAATCGCTTGTTAGTAACAAATTAAAAGTATAAACCTTTTTATTTCTGGCATTATTAAAAGTTGAATTTGTATATCTAGCAACAGTATGATTCACTCGTTAAGAAAAACAAAACGAATGTTTCAATATTTGTATCTATAATAACAGTTGACATCGGAACCTAATTCGTACGTTTAAATGTGCAGCAGATTTCCCGCTCTCAGGGCTTTTTAGTCACGTTTGAAATGCTTGTTTGGTCTAGAATTAGACGTAAATAAATTACAAAAATATCCGATATTCTGATTTGTAATGTTAAAAAGATTTTATTTTAAAACAATAATTTGCTTTTCTCATCTAAAATTTACCTATATTTGTTTGATGTTTGAAAAATATATCATTGGCTTTAGAATTCATATTACTTAGCTATTTTTTAATAATTATAGTTATTTATCAAAATATGATTTGCTTGCAACTTGTTTTACAATGTTCATCGCCATTTTATTTATTACTAATTTCAGCTTCAATAATCATTTGTCAATTCTGAATTACTAATGAATTTTAGACATATATATCAATCTATAATATCAGTCAGTTCACGAAAGATTAATTTTTTTACTACTGCCTTAAGTTAAATGGTTTAAAAAATAAGAATACGCGATCTACTTATTTGGCAGCAGGACAGCTTGCATTTAACTTGGTGATTGACAAAAAGCAAATACACTTTTCCGCATGTGATTAACAAATAGAAATAATTTTAATATTCTTTTATTAAATATTCTTTTAGTAATAAGATTTAAACAATAATTGAAAGACATTTTCATTCATTTGAAAACTAATTTCAAGTTGTAAATGGATCATATCTGCAAAGAAATCAGAACATTTTTCCGAATAATTCGCATTATTTTTAGCCACGTTACCCCTTCCAAATCTCAAAAGATTCGAGCAGTGGGTCAGATTACTACTAGCTAGCCATATAAGAACCGCCCGCCCGATATTTTTAACAACGGAATGTGCTATTCCCCGATTGACGCTGTAACCAAGAAACTTCACGAATAGGATATTACGCAACCGAGGTTGCAACGGCTCGAGCTTTCGCGGTGGGTTTGTGCCAATAGCTTTGAGTAAAAAAATATTATGCGATTGTTTTTGTTAATATTATTCTTTCAGCCAGCGTGCAGGCTTCAATCATATATAATAAGTACAACTATTCAAAGCAAGAAGCTTTAAAAAATTTTAAATTATTAACATTTCAACTAAATAATTATAAAGGAATGACTGAATATTTGACATAATATGATGCAATTTTCGATTATTTAAGATTAAGAAGTAATTTTAACCGAGATAATATATGTGGGAATCGCATAATTATCAATTGATAGATCAAGTTTAGTGAATAATTAAGCAATGCATTGAATGTCTTGAAGAAGGTAGTTTTCAAACGTAGCGAAGGCACTGATCAACCACTTTTCATACCAGATAAACTAATATCTTGTTAGTTCACATAATAAAATGTTCAATGGACTATATTTCGTTGTACGCAAATCACTGAATAGTTCGACAGATAAACCGCGCACTTTAAATGCTGCGGTGCGTGAAAGACACGGTAGTTGCATCACTGACACTGATTTCAAGAAATTACCATTATCGAGCAGTCGAGGATGAGTTCTGATATTGTTTATTTTATATCAATTGCATTTTAGTTTTGTACTCACTTTCAACGTCTCTGGGATTGAGATCAGCCTGAAAAGAAAAGCAGATATTTCTGAGAAAATCGTTGAATAAATTGTCAATAAATGCCGTAAATGATTGGCTCGCAATGAAGATTGAATAATTAAAACGAGAACAAGACGAGAGATTTACCATTATTTTAGTTTATACGTGGCCTCTGGATGCTCACTGAACTAAACTGGAACCAGAAGTGCGAGCTAACCGAGGCTTGCTCATTCATTTTAAGGCAATAGATGGCGCATCGCTAGGAGATATTTGAGAATCAGAGCCAGTTGGAAAAGCTTTATTCTTCCCGCGATTATAAATACGACAGCGAGGCGAACCGACGCGAGCGCGATCCAAAAACAGTTTTAAAAGACTTCGACTTGCTGCTACTAGCTAACACTGATTTTTCTCTAATATATAGCATAAGCTTTGTTGAAGGCCACCGCAACTATTGCCAGTTGATTTCTCGAAAGTTTATATTCATATCGATTCCAAGCTAATTGCCTCATCGATTCATTTTACACTATTCATATCACGCTTAATATAATTTCTTCAATGTTATTTGAATTCGCAATCACTGTTGTTCTATAACATAAAGACTTATGAAATTCGTGAGATTACAACATAATACTGCAATCTTGAAAACATAAATATTGTACCATTCGCAAGAGGCAACAAATGAAATCGATTTCCTGTTATTTAGCGTTTTACCTTTTTTTAGACGATTCTAGATTTGTAACTGCAAAATAAGGTTTTAGAAAAATAGTACTTAATTTATTTATTCAAATAGTAATCATCATTGTTCAGTAGGGCTGCTTACTTCTTTCGATTTAATATTACTTCCGGTGCAAATAATTGTATCATAAGCATTTAATTGATTGAACCAGAATACATTGATATATTTGAAGAAACATAATTTGAGATTTTTTTAAGTAAGCGCAAATCTAAATACCATCGAACAGAAATGCTCTCAATTGTAGTATATGCGAAAATTTTTCATTGAAAAATCTTTTAGTTACAATGAAAAATACTAGATAATAATTACTAAATGATTCTTTCATGAATAATATTTCAAAAAAATCAATTTTAAAATAGTTATTATATATAATAGTTATTATAATTTCACTTCCTTTTCATTGGATTTTGCTGAAATAGTAGTATAATGCACAATAGAGTTGCTAATGACATTAGAAAAATGTTGAAAAAATATTTAAATAAAGATGAGTACCAAATTATATTGCATTTTTTAGAATAAAAAATGATTTTTAAGAAAATAATTTTAATTAAATAAAAAAATTCGTCTATTATTTACAAATGTACATCTCAAGCATTGTAGAATTAATAATATTAAAAGCAATTGTGAAGTTCTATGCTCTGAGATCATAAATATTACAAAATTTTTATATGAAAATATAAATTTCTCTTTTAACAAAAAATTCTATTAATAAATCAATGGATGATCTGGAAAAGATACACTTGTCTGCCTTTAAAACTAAATTTGCATATGTTCAAAAGTTATAAACATACGTTGATGAAACGTTTTTAATTGTTAAACACCATTAAATAGATACAGTAGAAGAAAAATTGAATATTTTAGATAGTATGGTTATTAGAAAAAATAGAATATTAATGAATCGGTATTAAAAATCAATTTCATCCGACAGACTCATTTATTGCACCTTTCACTTTTTTATAAAAAAAATATTGTATATAACGTGGTTGACAGGGTGTTTTTATTATCTGACATATGTTTCGATAATTAGTAATGTTGAATTACACACACACATACTCATAATAATGTACTCTTGGTAAATTTTATATTATAACATTACAAGTTACTGAACATAAAAATAATAAGAACGAAGATGTAATGATAAATGTACATATGTGTAAATATACAACCATGTACTATATTTGATTGGAACAATCTCAGCATCCTTGATTTTAAATGAAATTGAAAATTATTTGGAAGCAATGTTTAATCTCAAAAGTGTTGTACATCAACAGCTGACGATAAAGGGTTATACTAAAGAAGATACAGCGAAACTAAATAATACTCGTATATACATAATCCCATTACAAGCTTATTAAGGAATTAATGATCGGGCACAGGATATATAAGACAGAATTGCATTCGTGAGACCAGTCGACAACAGATATTTGTTTTTGCCACAGCATTGTTGGCTGTTTATTTCATAATTCATTGTTAATTATCATGTATTGATGTGTTACGTTCTATAATCTGTGTTTTATTTTCTAATTATATATTCTAATATATGTTATATATTCTAATTTTTTTATATAAAGTCCTGAAGAGGTCAACAAATCTGTTAACGAAATGTCAAGGTTTTTCTTTCATACTTTGCATACACTAAGTAAATGAAGAGAAAATTAACCCTTTATTGTCTAGTGACGAGAGATAGTATCTATGAGTTATTGATCTGCTTGTAACATTACATTGTGTAATTATCATTGTGCTTGATCGGTGTAGCCAATCTGTCAACGAAGGGATGACAACCTTATTTACGTTCCGCTAAAAGATATTTGTTAACCTCATCGGAAAAAAAATTTATAAGAATAAGTGCTATGAATTTTTCTGTTGGACAGAACAGAAATGTTAGTCGAAGAATGCTTTGGTTTTGACTAATGGCCCTCGCTGCTGGGAATTGTTTTTCTAATGATATTAACGAATCTATTAACAAGAAAAAAAAAGGTTGTCATTACTTCATTACACCGATTACGCAGTGACGATTACGCAGAGAAATGTGGTAGACGAGATCAGTATTCAAACAAAAGGTAGGTTACGCTTACTATATGTGTATATTTATCGAATTGATAGAAATATATAACCATCTTATGAAGAGCATATTCTGAAGTTTTCAAAACACCATCTAACGAAATTGGCTGACATCAACGAAAAACCTCATTGAAAAATTGATTCGAAATCTTTGACATGCGTTTACATATAAAGAAAGATTCTTCGTAACTAAGGTGCTGCTGGAAAAATTTTTCTCGGGATCTTTAGAAATTGATCACTTAACGTAGTGCAATAATTTCTAGAAACTCTCATAGAAATTAGTTTAACGGCAATGTTGGAATAAAAAGAGAAAGAAACAGACGTTGAAATCGTTTTGAACTTGTTTGTTATAAAACCAAAACATTTGAGAAATATGAGACATTATAATAGTTATTCATCATTCATATACGGTACAATATACGAGATGAACAAATTGTTGAGTTTTAACGGAGACCGCTTAGCTAGTAATATTTGCATAGACGATGAGAATGAATGAGAGTATTATAAAGACTGACAAGAAGGAGGGGATAAAGTGAGCGGGAAAAGTTAAAAGATTTGGTCCAGACAGCGTCCGCAGCTTGGCGCGCCCTGATCGATAAGCGCCGGCGCACTAGAGCCGTGCCTGACTGTCCTCCTCCGAAAGCCGAGAGGGCGCACAACAGAGCAGACGCTGAGTCGTCAACTCGACCTACCCTGCACCCCTTTCACTCGACTCAGTCCAATAGCTGCTTTCTTCTCAGCCTCGCGCCTTCGCTTCGCCTCTCTTCACTCTCTCTTTCTCTCTCTCTCTCTCTCTCTCTCTACCCGGCTCCGCGACTGATTACCGGAACTATGCCAGGGGAACGAGTACCATCACGTGATCTCGTTGCATCCCTTGTCTTGCATGCCTAGACTCTCGCTACTTTCAACTAAAGCTATTTCACCACTCTTCTTTGTTATCCAATACCTCTATTAATGAATTTTATCAGCTCTTAAGTAAACTTGTCTGAAATGATTTACTAACTATTCAACTGCAAACCACCACCAACCTGCCAGTACCATCTCAACTTAAGCCTGTTTACAACTTCATTATTCATGGATATTTATCGAGTGAGACTCTTGGCCAAGCTTACCCATGTGTAAGTGATTCAGTTTTGGTTTCTTTCTTGCCTACAACTTAACCAGAGAGATCCAGGAATATGATTTGGAAATTATTCGTATATTACGTAAGCAAACGTACTTTTGAATTTCGTCGCATCATTTTTTGCTAATGCTTTATCTAACAATCCAAAAACCTTTATAGTCGATGATGCTACTCACGGAGAAAGAGATAAAAGACTCCTCGCAAATTTCAAAGCTTCTGAAACATCCACTTTTATTAACCACAGACGCAATATAAATCAGATTGAAATTAAATACTCGAAGCTGTTTAATTTTCTTTGTGATACGTAAACGTAGATCATTTCAAAGATCCTATCACGTCACGACTAGTAACATGTGCGAACCGCAATTACCTCTCCCAGTTCAATTGTATCTATGGCGCTTACTAAAGTAAGTGAAATATTGATTTTAAAAACTGATTTATGTCAATGTGTTCAATACAAAACGATAAAATGTTACAACGGTCGTTTATTCACTCTAAGAAGACATTATGTAAATTAATTTTATTGTTCACACTTAGATAGTTGATTATTTCGTGACAATAGCGCATTGTTTAAGTTCATTTAGTGTTTGTTCATTGTTACTGTTGATTACCGTTTACTTTTTAGGCCATTTTTAAGAGCAAAACTTGGTCGAGTCCATGAAGCTTCTTGTTACGTATGAACAACTCAATAATTAACTTATCTTTATTCAAAGTATTAAGTAACTTTCTAATTGTGAATTTTTTTCAGTTTTGTCAACGAGCACCAGGTCACCACGTAAGTTGTTAATCTTTTTTTTCCTTTTTCTATCTATTCAAATAAACGAAATAATATATAATTGATGCTTCGTCTGTTTTGTCATTATGCAGCAAGAAATGAAGGAAGCATGCTCGGTAATATAGTACTGTATAATGATCGAATACGTAACAATACAAGAGTAATAATTATTAATAATGACATTATGATGACAGGCAATGGAAAGGATTTTTGTTCAAAATATCTACAATGACGTACCAGCTTCTTTAAGAGCGATATTCGGCACAGTGCCACGATGGCGTTTGATCCAAGCATCTCTTCCTTTCGTTTTGCACGCTGCCGCGGGCATCTTGAATAACAAGTGAGTAACTACTTCTTTTGTGTCATTGCCAAAAACCTTATCAACTGAATGTTCAAGTTATTTTTGAATTTTTAACGGCGCGGCTCTATTATTTACCCGCACTTGACATCCTTTTACGGTTGGCATCTTTTAATACTACCAGGATTATTTTATTCTTTCATAACTTTTAATATAACTTAATATTTTTTTAAAGTATAGATTTTATTTTTCTTTTACAGAAAAGACTTCCAAAATCTTAGTCCTTTAGAAACAACATTACTTTATATACTTCACTGGACGATGCTTGATGCTGCTGATGAATGTGCTGATCAGAATGGAGAAGGGAATAATCCATTTTATTACTTATTTTCTATATCCACCATGACCGTAGGCAATTTTTGTCGTCTTAATTTGAAACTTTAATGATGTAAATATATGACGTATTAAATAATTTCAGCTTTTTGTATATCTATTTGTACCGTTGGTGAGCCATTTAAAAGATGTAGATTTCAAAGGCAGTCTTCGTTTAGAAAATGGTCAAAAAATTTGGTATCCTATTTACGAATGTAGACATCCAGAAGCTCCATGTTTCACTGCTCATTGTCGGCCTAAACCCCGGGCTTTGTGGAAATCGTTTACAAAATCGACTAAGAATCAAACGGTTAATGATGATGTTTTTGTTGGTAGTAAGTATATATTACTAAGTACCATAGCCTGATATTAATACTGAATACAAGTAAAATCAATTATTACAATCATTCATCTTTTTATTATTTATTGTAGCTACCGAGAACCCCCCTTCTCAAAATGCTAGGTTATCCGATCAAGCAATACCAGCATGTACGAGGGGACTAGATGAAGACGTAAGTAATAGATCACTAAGTACACAACATTTTCGCAAAATTTATGTTTTTTCCATTGTTAACTCTAGGCTTCGTGGGTATCATCTCCAAAAGATAAAGCATTTCCCGAAACTATTCCAGAAGAAAGTTCTAGTACCGAAGATGAGCATGTTGTAAGTAAATTAACAGACTGGCAGTCAATTTTCAACAAACTATAACGCTATTATTTACAATCTGCCTGCTCTATATGATAGGTCATATTCACTCTTCCTTCACTCGATGAGTCTGAGAGAATGTTAGGTGGTGTGAAACAAGTCTCTACAATATACGCTGTAAGTATTCTTTATGAAAAGTATAAGTGAGTGTTGAAATATTCTTCAGAAAATTTTTTCCTTATATGAATCAATAAATAGGGAGAAGCAAGTATTTTTCACGTGGCGATGGGACGTAGAAGTAGTTGTACGAAACCTACTTTAACAATAGAGCAAGTAACATCTATATCCGATTTAGACTCTTACCGACAATACGAAGGAAAATCTATGGATAGAAAGATGAGGTAGTAAAAGGCACAGAAACTTGGTTTATTTTATAGTCGTTATAATCACAATATTATGTAATTTTTTAAAAATCAATGTCGCACTGAACTGACCATTTTCCGATGTGGCAAGTACAGACGTATATTTACAGAATATACTAGAGTATGAGTAGCTTTTTTCCCATCATTCGGCAAACGGTCAGTTTGAGTCAACTTTTGATGTAGAAAAATAAAAATATCTAAGCTCATAACAAATCAGTCTTTTCTAAAATTAGTGATACGTTAAGAGAAAAAGATGATAAATCCGGAAAATATGAAAAAGACAAAGGAACAGATAGTTCCAAAACTAAAGGAGATGAACAGCGTTATCCTTCATCCGGAGATAGTCAAACTAGATCATCTGCTATTGATATGGATGTCCGAGCAGCAACATTTCTTGATGTGGCTATTATACGCTGTTTATTCATTTCTCAATGGCAAGAAGAAGGCGTTTTTTGGGCTTTACAATTTTTATACAATCGGTAAGTTAGTTTGAAACTGTCTAATATTTCATTTAAGTATCATTAAGACTTTATAGTTAAAATTGTATGAAATCTATTAGTCTGATTTGAATCACAATTAAATCAACGATATGACAGAAACTTTATTACGTTCGACAGAAATAGAACGAACTAAGTGCGTAACGATACATGAAAAAGCTTTTATAATTTTAGTTATAATTTTTTGTGTTTATGTTACCAGAAAGGTCATACTAAATTAAGTTACATTATATAGATAATCAAAATGTTTGACAATTTTCCTTTACAAATATTATTGTGTCAATTTTCACGAATGAAATAGTACTGGTTGTAATACTGTTACTAATTGGACACGCAGATCGAAGGCGGCTTGTTGCCCCGTTAACAAAGTCTCGGGGAGCGGAACGGGGCGTGCAAAACGAAGGCACCTTTATATCCGTTTGGAAGGTTCTAGGAGAATTCTTCAGGCTCACAAAAGTTTATTTACGTAATTCTAATTTAACGCTGAAATACGCTGTGGTAATCAGACTGGTTAAGATTGACTCCCGAAGCTGATTATCGCTGATGGATACTGAGGTTCTATCAATCTATCTGTTTGATTAATGTATGATCGAAACGAATCGATATGGGCCAGATATTGGCACAATCCATGCAAATTATTATGAGCCATAAATTGGCACGATCTAATCTTGAGTTAAAGCTTCAACTGCAGTATCGATATCAGACGTTGAAAAGATTGGACTGTATTTCAACGAAGTGTGTTTGTATTGGAAACGAAAAGAGAACCAATTGATTTTGGTTTCAGTGAGAGCGAAGAATGCTGCGTGTCCAGTGATTTTCAAGAATGATCGGAGTTAAGGAGAGAGCAGTTAGTAACTTCTTATCTAGGAAGATATTCTTAGTTAGAAAAATGTCAATATTAGAGCGTTTGTTTGGATCCTCAGAGAAGTAAGCATCAAATTTGAGAGAGCTTTAGAAAAATTTTGCTTTTTGTACTAGTAGAGATACAATACCACTGGATGTATTTGGCATTGAAATCCCTAGCTAAAATAGATGGCACTTTGGAAATTAGTAGAGAAGGAATCTCCGTCATCTTATAGGTGTCGGAAAGCGGGGAGGGGGGGCAAATAAAGGATGATAATATTCAGCAGGTGTTTGTTGCAAATGACTTCAATGCCACAAATCTCGAAAGAGGGAGAAAGAATGTTAATAGCTATATGGCGAAAAGTGTTGCGAACGATGATGGTGACGCTATCCCCGATGCCTTCGCCAGAAAGAATTATACGATTACGACGTTGATCGTGAAGTTGAGGATAAAGAGTTTTCCACAAAGTTGCTTGGTTTCGGTGATACAAGCTACATCAATGGAGTAGTCTTCGAGAAGCTGAATCAACACGGGAAGTTTGTTTCTGGTAAGAATGCCATTAACGTTCGAAGTGATTTCATTTAATCTAGATTTTATGAAGGAAAGAAGCAGAAAAGAAGAGATCTAAGTATTGCCCTCGGTCCATAGACTTGATTTTTGAGAACTCGAGGAAGGTACGGAAAAGCTCCAGAAAATGCGGATCGTCTAAATAAGGTCTAGGAGGGTGGAGGGAAAAGTGAATGATAAAATGAGAGAAAGTTTGGAAATATGAAAGTCCATTGAGAGGGGAGCGGAAAGAAGTTCTATAAAAAGAGGCAGATATAGAAAATTGAGGAACTGAGGCCTGCGGGATAAAAGGTATTTTCAAAGAACGAGATTTAGGAGCGTATGCTTTATTCAATACTTTGGGGCAACTGCGGTAAATGACTCTATACGCACCTTAGCAGTGGAAGCAGACTTTTTGGATTGTTCCTTAATGCATAGGTGGAGGTTTCGTGATCTTTTGTACAGAAATCACAAGCCCAGACTACGCGGCAGTAGTTTACAGTGTATTTGAACTGTATAAGTAACAGCTATATTTAGGAGTTGCCTTTGGCTTTCTTCTAGTTTTAACTGTGATGTTTAGACCACCAAGGATTTTTAAGTCGAAAATAGTTTTAGCTAAAGAAGATTTGCGATTTAGATAAACAGCTACAAGCGGTCATATTTTATCACCTTTAGTTTCAAAAGCAGCTATTTTGATTATAAATTCCGTACGCTTAGCACAGAGTATTGAATGTCGCAAGAATTTCTGCCGTAGGACAGAGGGATGATTCTTAAATTTCCTTAGTGGAGGATGAGCTTGAAGTGTCAGGTGAGTGTCAGGTGGCACGCCCTTTGGATGAAGATCTTGTAGCGGATTGTCAGGACACACTGGGGGAATGGACTGTAAAGGAGAAGCGACTCTGAGAAAAGCCGATTAAGTTTTTTGATTGAAGGCCCTGATAAGGGGCTAACTTTTTAAATGATAACTTTTTAAAGAGAAGATTGTGGAAAGGAAACAAGGGGATGCTTTACGTGTAACTGGAATAGTTGGAGAATAGGAGTGACGTGCAGTATGTGAGTACGTACGTTAAAATGCACTGGTATTGATGATGATAATGCACCAATCAGAGTGTTATAAGAGGTCTAATATGCGGACCTCGGAGAGAGAGGGGGCTAATTTTTTATGCCCAACTAAGTACAAGTAAAAAGATAGTGATAAATTGGAACAATAAATAAGACAGGAAAAGGTGGTAGTAAGATGGTAAAACAGATAAGATAGGAAAAGATAGTAGTAAAGTGGAAGAGTAGATAGCATAAGAAAAGGTGTTGGTAAGGTCGAAAAATAATAGAATAGGAAAAGGTCATGGTACAGTGAAAAAATAGATAGAATAAGAAAAAGTGGTGGTAAAGTGAAAAGAGTCTTTTCTTGGTTGATAATATATATATAAAAAACTACAATATTCTGTGTGTTTAAATCTCATGAATGACAAATTGAGAAGTTATTTATGTAGATATATACAGATATTTACACACACACACACACACACACACACACACACACACACACACACACACACACACACACACACACACACACACACACACACACACACATGAATCTATTCTATCACTTTATTTTCCATAAAAAATAAATACAATTATCTATTAACTATAGCTTTATAATATTTCATGCAATTGATTCTTTTAGTTTACGAAGAATAAACGAAGAAAGTTCTACTCAACAGATGCCCCGGCGTCGTAGTAATTCATTGCCTATTCCAAAAATCGAAGTCTCCATCTACCAAAGTCCTGAGAGTAAAAAGAGAGAGGGTTATAGAGACATCGCAGATTACCAAGATACAAGAGATACAGTTTTATCTGCAGGTATAAAACATAATTTGTAAAAGCAGTTTAGTACTAAATCATAAAAAGTTTTCTAAAGATAAACAAAACAATGACTGACGCCATAAATAAAATGATTCGAATCTGAAACAAACGACCAGATCTATTTCGTGCAAACATGAGATATAAAATATTAAATAATTAAAATTAGACTTACTGAAAAAATCATCCATAATAACTTGCATCAACATATCAATTAAGTTTTTGTAATACACAAATAAATAATTTTTCGACACTCCGTGCGCAAAGTGCGTCTTTCCCGCACGCTCGGCAGAAAACGTGCGTTGAAAATTGCACTTTCCACACGTCGTATCAAAAAATACGGTTCGGCACATGTTCAGGAAAGAGTTTCTCGTCTCGTGGACCCTTCCACCCTCGCTTCGCTCGGGCGTAAAAGCCACACGAGACAAGAATCTACTTTCCCGCACTTGTATCGTAATGTACTATTACAATATTTGAAAAAACTGTAATTATCACTTAAAAATAGCATGAAGGTTAAAAAATATATTTGAGAAATGAATAAATTAGGTTAAATAGTTCACATGTTAATTAACCTGCAGTTAATGTTATATTTTATCTTCATCTTTATTTCATAACAATATTTCTTGAAAGAATGTTCTATTTAAAGACTCTTTATTTCCTTTGTTTGATGTTATTATAACTGTTATTTGTTTCGATGATTGTGATTGAATTTAAATATACTTCAGTGTTACAACTGCAATGGTTACATTATCTCGAAACTAAAATTCTCAAATATAAAATGTCTGGTAGACAATTTCAAATATATATTACAATATGATTAAAGTTTATAAATATTATCTTAGATATATCATTCTACGGAGACGTAACATACAAAGCACACGATACAGAAATAAGTCATACAAGAAGAGCAAGTGAGAAAACCAAAAAACGTATGAAAATGGCTGATCTGAAAGCTTTTGTTGAAACGAAATTACTTTCAAAATCTGAAAAAGCTCTTGAAAAAATAGGCCAAGAAGAACCTAAAAGGCTTTTTGAACAGGTAAATAAGTATTACCGATTCTATAAAATAATCAAAATCCCTACGTTTGTAATACTATAAATTAAATACTGTGATAGAAATACATTTCGACGAAAAATTTTTAGGAATGCCACAGAAGTCTAGACGCAGGAGAACAGCGTTTAACTAGACAGCCATCAGTGTGTTCAAAAATCTTTGATGCAAAAGATCCTGACTTTATAGAGCATCCTTCAAATTTGATCAAAGGCAAAAGTATGCCTAGCTTGAGGTATTACTCTCTTTCTTTATTACTAATACCGTGTTCTGTATTTTGTATTTTACACATTGTAACATTTCAAATCTGCCTTTTTAATAACGATTTCATAACATTCTTTTATTATGATAATGCAGAAATTAGCTGATTTGGATTAAACACTGATCGTAGATTTTAATATACCTGTATCCAATGTTGCACAGTGTAATAGTGCATTTGAAACAATTGTAGTACATCAGCTCTTCATTTGATATTATTATATTAAAATCTACTAATCGTATTGCCAATTAACAATAAACACGCTTCTACTTATAGATTTTAATATTTTAGTATATTTCTCTTTCTATCATGGAAAGACAATGCATTGTAGTTTCCATTTAGGTCCAAATATTAATAATCGGTAATAAATGATATTATCTACATCAATTGATGTGGTAAATTGTATCGATCTCTTAGATTAGAGTTAGCTTTATTCAGTACGTAATTTTTATATTATAACATACGTTACGAAACATTTTTAACACAATATCACCTTACATCGCTCTCTATGATGTAGAAAAATATTCTACAAAGACTAACACAAGATTTATTGATAAAGGATTTGTTCTAATATCTTTAAAATTGCACAGGAATTGACTTAAAATTTAATATAATAATGACTAACTTCATGCAAACAAGTACTTGCCAGTATGTTCATGAAATATCATGAGTCGTTTAATTACTCAATTAATTATAATATTCTATGTAATTTGACTTTCTGAACTTCAAAATAATTCCTTCCAAATAACCATGGTTTTATTTGTCTATTATGTCTTTCTTTATGTGTATCCTGTTCCTTTCAATCTCATCTTTTCATTTCACACTCGTGCTCAGCTGCTTGATAAATGAGCTGACCGCGGGAGGGTAAGTTGTAAAAACGTGTTTCTCAGCAGATAAACTTGCCTTTTCTATTCTTTTCTTACTCTATCTTTTCTATGTACTTTATACTAATAAATTATGGATCGAATCTTTACAACTTATATGAAAAGATTATAAAATGATTTTTGTAAAAACTTTGCTTACGTACTTGTGTAATCAACGTTGATATATTTTTTCTTATACTTGATTTAATTAACAATTACACTGTTATTATATATTAAAATATGAGCATTTATAAGCTGAAAATAAGTTTCATATATCAGAGAAATTACTAATTAGTTGTATTTTTATTTAAAAAACTGAAATAAGTTGAAATATGTTTTATTTTTGGTAATATTGATCAACAAATTGATAATTATTTTATTTAGTACTAAAATTAAAATGTTATTATTATTTATGAATATTATTATTTATCTTTTATAAATCATATTATAATCTAACTGTAAGTTTAAATTATTACATTTTGCCTAAAACTTAACATAACTGTAAAATATGTTAATACAAAATTAAGTATAGTTGATATCATCATAACAATGTATCATATTATGTAAAAATTTCATTACTCACAAAGTATCTTTGATTCTATGGATTAACTACTTTCCAAATATACAACATCCTTTTCTTTTATTTGCTCCAAGTTTCTTTACAATTTGTCCAACGTACTAAAACAATAAGTAAATGTAATTGCTATATGGATATATTTACATGAAATTCAGTAGAATACTCCAGAGAGTGTTCTGTTTGTTTCAAAGTATGCGTTACAACGTTCATAGCATTTCCAAAAAATAGTTATTTAATTTTCCTTGACTTATTGTTAAGTTGCATGTTAATTTTTGGTATCATAAAATTTCGATATTAGCAGAATTAATCCACTTTTCCTTTTTTCTTTTGGAATGTAATATTTCTCATTTTTTAAATAGAAATAAGCAATATAGCTTCTAGATAATGCTATTAATGAACTATTGCTTCAGTAGAACTAAGTAGCAACCTGCTCACAGTAGATAAAAATAAAATTTTCATTACTTCGATTCATAAATATTAGCATAAAAAATTTAGTACACCGACAAAATAATTGTAAATAAAGCATATATTCTTGAAAATATTCATAAGTACTAATATAAAAAATATTCTGAATACTAATTCTAATACTATAAAAATTTAAGTGAAAAAATACATTGTAAGTCAAATGGTCTTAAGACGTTTCTAATATTCATTCATTGAAAATTTTCTAACATCTTTCAAGCTATTAAAATAACAATAAAGTTCATCATATGCCTATATTACTATATAATTTAATTCACTATAAAATTATGTATTATTGTGAACCCAATAGCTGTTTTATCGTGAAGTATCTGAATCAAGTTCCAAGAAATGTATGCTTTGAATGAGTACATTTTAAAGCGCAATATTGGTCATTCAATTTAATCATATGTTTACAAATATTGCAGAATAGATTGTACCTCACAGCATGCTATTGGTGTGATTTTATTATGCTACACCTATAATGCATAATAATACTATTTTATTTTTAGGTACATTGGTGATACTAAGGTTGATAAAAAAGACAGTCATTTTTATAATCAATCGTGCGTGGCTCCCAATCCCATTATAACTGTTACTGAACATACTCCAATTCCATCTCCAGAATATATGAAACGCCAGGTAAACTAGTGTTACATTCTCAGTTAATTAGTGTCGTTCGACATATGGTATTTATCTTATTATAGGTCATGATAAAACATTTTGTTAGAACATTCAACACACAAAATGCTTTATTATTCTCAATATAATAATTTGCACTCGTATATCTATACTGTTTATGCAATCTTCCAAGAATCGTACTTTTTCAAACTTGTCATTCTGAAAATAACTAGTAAAATATTCCAGTAATTGGATTCTCCTTACTTAAGTTTGATAACTTTTTACTTAAAAATCGAGACATATTATCTAGCAACTTATAAAGCACAGAAATATTTTTCTAATTGTTTTCCATTTATTGTTTGTCAGTTCGTTGCCACTGATGGACGGAGAAATCGAAGTAAATTAGTGACAATGAATAGTAATATGAATTTTAAAAAGAATTTTATATAAATTATTTAACAAAAAATATAATTTACTATCAAGTAAATCTATCTGTGTTCCTCGCCAAATCCCACGAAACTTTGCAAGATGATAAAAGATAAAAAAATATTCGGCATGTATTTTTTTATATTGGCGGAATTCCATATTTAACTATCCCTATTATATATTTTACTATCCCTTTAATATATTAAATTTTCGGTTCGATGAATTAATTTAAAAATTTGCACTTGGGGATTTTTTGGATCGCTGACAACAAATCTGAAGTCGGACTATTAAAATTTTTTATCCAAATTTGCAGAAAATAATTTAAATTCATCACATATAATTTTACAAAACTAATATTCCCTAAATTATCTTATACCTGCTTAGTATCTATTATTAGATTACATTCGATAAATTATTATGCTTTTAGTAATTAAATATGTTATGTTGAGTGATAAGGAATAATGTAAAATTAAATAATTAAATTAAAATCAGTGAGTTGGATACAATAACTCAAATTTATTTATTAATTTTGCCAAGTGGTGAGAACAATAGTGATTGTTATTTTAAATAATGTGCTGGACGATGATTGTCCATTTATCGCCGGAAAGGCGATTTGTTAACTTATTACAAACTTGTCCGCTTTGAAAAGTGATAATTTGTTAGGGTGAGAAGGACTGAGAGTGGAAGTTTTAAAACATTTGATATGAGAACGCCGGAATTATTCAACTCACAATAAATTAGCTTAACTATAACAAATAAACCGGAACACTCGGAACCAAAGTAAAATTGCAATTAAAAACTAACGATACAAATTGCATTTATAAAGGTTTGAAATCTCAATCGCAAACTGAGTTAGTTAAAATTAAGAAATGATTAACTTTATGTCGGCACGGAAATCGTATTTCTAAATTTTACAAAGGTGTAGTTGACGGAAGTACAATTAATAGAGTATGATTAACGCACGCGTGCTCAACGATAAGCGACTTGCCATTTGTCAGAGCCTGATCTAGAAAGAATGAAACGCATCGCCGCGCCAGCTGAGTCCGAGGCAAAAATTTTTTTTCTCATCTCAATTCCCTTTCCTCGCACGAAGGTCGAGGGCGTATACTTCTTGACCTCCTGCCAATGGGGTTTCATTATTCACGTATCAACTGCTCCTTTCTCTGTTTGATTGGCTTGAGTCGAAGTCTGTGATGATTCCGACCGTGCGCTAAAGATTGTGCCGTGTTTTGGTGGCTCGTGTTGCGTTGTTTGATATCGCCGGCTTTCGGCTCAAACAACGGGGTGACGGACGCTCAATGTCCGTCGTCGGCAATCAGCTTTGAAAGGTAACCTTTCAACCAATCTGATTGTCACAATTTGCCATCTTTTTTAGCGATGTATGCATTTTGGCGAGTTTGGAGGCAGTGATCGTAGCAATGTTAAATAGTAAAATCTGATTCTAAATCGCAACTCAGCTTGATGCGGCGCACGCCTCTCTCACACACTTATTTCAAGTAAATAATATTCGTAGTGTTGCTTAAGTTTCGAGTTTCGAAGAGGTTGTAATTAAATTTAACAACAAAGGGACCAACCGACAAATATCGGCAGATGAGAGATTCTTTTAGAAATGAGAGTGTCGTTGCCGCTACGCATAGTCACTCGATCTTGATTTCGAGTTCGATATGGCACGCGCGCATCGATTAGCAAAACAGTCCACGGCGTAATGAAATGATCTAAGCGCAATGTCTTTGTCCGACAATTCTGTGAGAGCATATTTCAAAATACATCCGTAACATAATTTTTATCCAGTATAACTAGATTACAATGAGTTAGTAGGCTATCAACAAATTTTACAACAGATCACGAAATATTTTACATTAACATAAGAGCGATACGTATTATTAACATTGTAAATTTGTTTATAATTTATTTCATTTATCTTGTATTGTTTTGTATAAAATCTGTCTACTTCTTAGCAAAGCTGTTAATTTTTTTTTTTATTGTTCTGATGGCGACTATAAGTCTTTTTCGTTGTCGTTCGTACTCTTTTGCCAAGTTGAAGTGTTTAGGCTTATTTTTGACTCGTTAAAATATTCGCTATCCACTACCTAACCGACAGTCGGCTGCGTAAATTTTTCCTTACAATCATGGGGTGAGCATACGTCTTCGTTAGAGCAGGTGTGAGTCCTTGTGCTCTTTCTTCTGGGTGTTCACCTTCATCCACCAGAATCTTCTATTATTCTTGTAGTTTTTCTAATCAGTTGAATTTGATGTATATAAACTTTAGGATCACTTTCTATGTAATGAACACTAATCCTCCAGCTGGATCTATTCTTAATCAGCCTAGAATCGACAAAAGTCTTATCACCAATGAACGATTTTCCGCGCGACCTACAATAAAATAGGTATTACCCCACGTTATTAATTTTTAGTTCTAACTTCGTGAAACTTTCGAGTAGTATATTGTACAGCATCGCGTTTATTAGTTTTTATTAGTTGTGAGTAATGTGTGAATTATCGTAACGTTAAAGTGGCGCTGGCTGTGATATCCAGGATTTTTTGAAACTTTTCTGGCACTGATGTTATCGGGATAGAGACAGCAATTATATACTCTTATACTTGCCACTTACAACCATACAAAACCCAATTTTACGGTAGCCATATTCCTGGATATGTAAAATTTCTCAGATACCCAAGTGGCTATACTGGCCATCTTATCCGCGATCCAGCTCGAAGTACCCAAGTCTCATCCATGTTCCGGTACTTTTCGATGATGATAACAATTTTTACCTTCTCGTCATTAACCGTTGAATACAATAAATCTTGTCCAGAGTACAATAGTTAAGGCTTATTTGAATCACCTTAGTCATTTTCGGATGCAAGTATATTCGTCAATTTAATCTAATTCTGTGGAGAACAATTTGCTTTGTAACCCTCCTTTCTACATTCGAAATACTGCTTCAATCTGTCCATTGGGCTTTCATAGTACTTCACTATATCTCTAGTTTCATGCCATTAGTCACTTCCACCACTTCTTTTACCGTATTGATCTCACTCATATCGATTATGTTTATCATATTTCTATGCGTTAGCAGATAAATTCTATAATTCCCTGGAAAATGTTATGCACGTTCTTTTGTAATTCTAGTGTTCTCTCTATAAAGAGTTTTTATAACTGTATTATACATTCTGCTATTATTTATTTAGTTAATCTTTTTCCTTATCGCTTTCAGGTCGGGCGCTTTCTTTAATTTCAACAGGATAGAGGCTTAGTTTTGATATCGCTATTTCGTTGGTCTCTTTGTCGGTAATTTTGTCCCTTTTCTGTTGTTGTTGCTTTTTCTTTGTCTTCTTCGGTCCTCGCATTACCATAGTTGTCCATTCCGCTTCTCGTGAGGGTCGCGTAGTATTTGTATGTGTGCATTTGTAGGTGTGCGCCCGCGCATGTACACTTACTTGATTCATAGTTTGAAAATAAATTAATAATAAATAATTGAAAATAATTTAAAATTAATGATATTACAGGGATCTGTTGATAGCCAATTAGACGTTATAAGCAGCCAAGTTCGTAAAACAACATACGACCGAAAGCCTAGCTTGACGAGGTCACAAACTGACTCAAACATTACTTATACTGGGGATGACAGTCCCGAAGCACCTGGATCAGGCGCCTTTATAACCGAAGATGGTGACATCGAGCTTGAAGTAGTTCTAAAGGTAAGAGAGTTAGGAATAACACTGAAAAGAAAAGTCGCAATGACCATTGAATACTGTCTAATCAGGCAATTCACAACATTTCACTGCGTGATAATCACAGCTGCTCGTTGCGAGTTTGCGAATCAATTTTGAATCTTTTGGAGTTGTTAATGGATATGGGTGTTCTGAAACATTGTATACGTGAGGAATCGATGGAAGAGAACCAAGGTAAGATGATAATAACAGAAGGACAGCGATAGAACGGAATAAATAAGGTGTTACGCGTATCTTACCGCTGCAGATTCGCCAGAAAAATCGGAGGGAGACAAGAGGCAAGGTTCAGCCGACAGTGCCCCGCGCAAATCCAATAGATTAACAGCTCATAATCTGATGATGAACTGCATTATAAATATATTACGGCATCTAGGCTGTCCGCATGGTTGTCTGGATGGGATCCGCGGCCCACAGGCTGACTTCTGTCGCTCTCAAATTCAAACGATATTCGGCAAACTATATAAAGCCAGTTCCAAGCAGTTCGCTACCTTCTTACGTGACGTTGTCAAAGATAGGCGAATCAACAGCGTTGTCGAGTTTTTCCACTCGTACATAGGCTTTTGCATTGACCCAGGCTCCTTGCTTTCCCCGCTCAGTAAGTGCATGCGAATAATGTCGAGCCATCGTCTGATTCAAGCAGTGTCAATTCAAATACTACTTGGTTGCATAGATCAAAAGCGCGGTTCGAGTAAGTCCCCGGATACTATGCCTCAAGGAGGATACGCGACGAACTTCGGGGCTGGTTTGATGGGAGGAACGAGCAATCCAATAAGCGGTTGTAACAATACGCCTAATTCATCGGGATCGGGTGGTAATACTGCCGGCTACCCTCATCAGGCCATCAGCGGAGTCAACCACAGATTCCGCAGCATCGAGTCGCAGATCATCGGATGTGTATTTAAAACCATGGTTACACGTTGCGTCAGGATGCTTAGCAAACTCAAGTCACAAGAGAGCATTTCGCTCTACTGCGATATCAGGCAATTCATCTCGTATGTCAAGGAAGCTCATGGCGGTGCCTTCCGCAGAGTGGTGCTCAGCGCCATACTCGACTCGGCTGACAAACCCGGTAAAAAGCCCAACAGCGTGATCCAAACGACCAGGGTGATCAGGTAACAAGCGAAATTTTTCACCAAACAATCAACTCGACTGCAAATGAATTTATTTCCTATACAAGGCACCTATTTCCTTGGGAGACCGATCAGAATGGTGAAATCGATGCTGAGGGATGTTATACCATTGACGAAAAGGGTGCCAGAAAGTTCCTTTTCAAAAAAAAGAGTACATCGTCCACTTGTGCGGTATATATACTCATTATTCATTAAACACTTATTGTTAATATTTGAGAATGAACGTGGTTGATACTTTCTAGAGCTTACTCGAGACTGAGCTCAGTGATGAAAATGTGAAAATCAGTCAAAGTCCATTGGGAAATATTCGGAAAAAGCATCATACTTTAACGCCGAGGCAGAGTGAACGAAATCTAGATCTAAATGAGCCATCTTATGGCATTAAGAAGTCTAGAAAAACAGCTCGCTTGAGAATCGGTGGAATTGGTCAGTGTTATACTGTCTTGATGCTATGTATGTATGATTTTAGTTTTATAATCCTTGTGTCAACTGTTTACAGTCAATTGGTTCCGCAAAGAGTATAGACGTAGCGAGGCAGATAGTCACGAAAATAGCGAGTCTCCAACGGAATACAGTTTTGCGCGCCAGCCAAGTCTACGCCGTGCTCATCGACGCGCTATGCCGCGAGCACCCAGAGGGTAGTCCTTTCACATTCTTAGCTATGCATACTAAACGTCATCAATTTGTTTATTATTTTTTGCATTTAATTTCAGGGTGGGACGCACGCTGCAAAAAGCCAAACGACGCATGGAAAATAAGTTGAGTCGAATCGGCCTAGTTAAAAGTAAAGAGAAAGAAAACCGCGAAGAAGTCCGTGGCAGTTGTAAGTCATTTTAACTAATTTTACTCGGTCTTCAAAACTTTTATTTTTGTCGCAATAGATTTCAGCCGACGCGATTCGGTAGAGCAAGGTGATCCATCGAGAGAATCGGAATTCGTTGTTCTGAAAGAGCGAAGATTGGTGCCGAAAAAAGCCATCTTTGAAGGAATCCAAAGATTGTCGTTCTTGTTAGAAACTTGTCAGCCAGGTTCAGTACCAGATCATCATTTGATGGGAGCTTTACTGGACTTGGTGAGTCACAACATTGATATGATCTCATTGAAGACGAATTCACTTGTAAAACGGTTCTTTTATCAATATCCGCAGCCATATGCCCCAGTTGTTGCGCGAGCTGCTATGTTATTGGAATGCGCTCACCTCGTTCATCAATGTAACAAAGGTCACTGGCCTAACTGGATGAAATTGAATTTCCCGATGTTCCGGCCATCGATGGCACTGAACAACAGGAGCGCTCCAACCGGTATAAGAAGAACTCATGTTTTGCAGAGAGCCGCGGGGAAGCTGTTTTACCAATGGGCAGAGGTGCGTCTTGATTGATCTTCACATTCAAATTCATTGAGTAATCGCTATCTAAACATATATATAACGCGTTAAGACCATCGGAATGAGGCTCGAGGAATTTCTCGCTCAGGATAGGCAAAATTACGATCGCATTTGCAGCGTAATGCGCGACGAAAACAAGCACAAAGTTTTAGCGATTGAAGATGTGGAAGAAGATTTTTTCGATGAAGGTTGGTGTAGGAAATAAGCTGTATGCAATGATGGCACGCTACTGCTGCATTAAACTGCTTCATAATACTTTTCAGCGAGCATCAATACGTATGGGAGCACATGTCCGATAGCATTGCGACTGATTGCTTGCAACTTACTCTTTGAGATCACGGCCTTTCTTCGAGAAACCTACCCGAATTTACCCAAGTCCAGTCGGCTGTCCACAAAGGAGCGAGCCCCTCCATGGGAGAAACTTTACAGCCGCGAGGCCAATAGGCGCTGGAGCATGGCCCTGTCGTCGATGGGTCATTCGCAGGCTTCAGCGCAGAGTTTGCAGTCGATAGCCGGTGACAGAGAGACAGGTATATAGGTATTGCCTTTACTCATAGAAACCTATCTTCCGTATTGCCAATCAGTATGTTTGCGTATCTTATAGAACGAAAGATTAGCTTTGTCTTGCACGAGCCGGATAATGAATCCGAAGGGAGCAGCAAGTCCAATGTAACTATCCAAGGCGAAGACATGATAATGAGCGAAAAGGAAAAATCAAAACGCATGCAAACGGCTCCTGGCAGGCCGTTCTTGCTGCGTCGAGGGACAACTACCAACACTGCCACTGGCTCCTTCAAGCGGCGAAGTCTTAAGCTACGCAGAAACACCAAAGAGGGCAAGGACATCGAAGTCGAAGCATGTAAGCTCAAAGCCATCGTCCAGAGATCCAGCATTTCTAATAATCTCGTTTCTTTCACGCTCGGCAGTTCGACGCGCCGACTCCATTCAATCAAAGCGAAAAGTCAGCTCACTGTCGGACAGAAGTGATACATCGGAGCCTGGTCTTTACGGAGAGGTCAGCGGTGAAGAGTCACCGGGAATTTTGAGCGATGATCAGCCACCGGAAAGCCCAAGCGACAGCAACGATACGGACGAGTTCAACAAAAACTTCCCCTGGATGAAAGTCGTCGTCCAGACCGCGAGCAATTACAATTTTATGTGCTGTCATCAAAACTATTGTCATCCCTACTGTCATCGACGACAAATGCGAGCCTGCGATCGACTTGTTCGAGCAGTTCGTAAAACTTACGGTGAGGAATTCGAGATTGAATCCGACGGTGGTTGGTTTAATACGGAAATCGAAAAGAAGGACGATCCTAAAAAGGAGAAACGAAATCGCAAAGTTTCCGATCAAACGAGCCTCCAAGTTTCGCCAGTGCGCAGAAAGGATAGCGTCGGCCGAAAATACAAGTAATATTTTTTCTTGTCATTTGATAAATAAGTATATACTATAAGATACACTTGTGGCTTTTGATTTAGGATTGACAAGAGCTTCGACGGCTCTCAATCCGGCCAGTTACATGGCGAATCCTCGAAAGATATGCATGAGCAGGAATTCGATTACAGTCAAGATTTTTGGAAATTCATGAAATCTCCAGAAGATGAAAAGGAGAAGGAACCACACCCGATGATTAAGTACATGAAGGACCAGGTGCGAGATTCTTTCCAAGCACCGTTCGCGACTTTATTGAAAGGCGCGGTCGTCATGTCCGAGGAGCTGTTCGTCGACGTGCTGCCAATAGCGTGGGTACTGCTGCTGGAATTTAACCAGGAAGTGGCAGCATCGGCCGCATCGTTATTCATCGTCGCCTCGGTGCGTGCTCCTACACAAGCCATCAACATCATGCAGGAAGGACTGCAGAATGAAGAAGCCTCTATCCGAATAAATTCTATACTACGCTTTCAAGTTCTTTGGAAATTCCGCTATCAAGTCTGGCCAAGAATGGAAGAAGCAGCTCATATGACCTTCAAGGTACCACCGCCGGGTATCGAGTTCACCTTGCCATCTCCAAAAATTGGCATTGAGTCACTTCCTGTTGTCGATCCCCCCTGGATGCCGCAGGTGAAAACTAAAGTTGAGGAGGTAACAATCAACCAAGAGCGTCACGTAAGTTGACAATTTATTGTATTTTACTTCTGCCAATTAGCATGGTCGAATTTAAACACAAAATCACTGCACTTATTCGTTTAGCGCGCATTAGTGACTGCTACAAAAACGCGAAAGAAGCAACAAACAGAGCTGATCAAGCAAGCCCTGCAAGCACAAGACGATAAGAAACGGGAGGAAAGAGCCAATTTTCTAATCACGACAATACCAATAACCTTTCAAGCGGCTTACGAACCTAGTCCGGTGGGAGACGATCACGATGAGGGTGATTATACACATCGCACTGACCACTCTTATCGCTAATATACCTTTCAAACAACTTCTTTTAAATTTTCAGCTAACGTCGACGAAGATGGCGCCGACTTGGCTCCAAGAAACCTAACTCATCATGGCCAATCCGCGCTCTCGCTATTTCCGTCGACTCTATGCTCTGCCATCGTTCAAATAATCACTCTGCTTGATGATCCAGCGGTCGGCGAAGATGGCACCGCAGTTTACGACATGGCCTATCAAGTGAGCTATGCATTCACTCGAATCTTATCATAAACCAACTTCATACTAATAATATTGCAGGTCATATGGAATTGCTTAGTCGAAGACAGCGCTTTATTTTTGAGGTACATTTTGGAGCGACTAACGCGGGAAAAACAAGATGTTATGTTCAAACATCTTAGGCATCTCATAAGATTCGTTCCGAAACTTCCACAACAGGCAGCCTTCGCTCTCTATAATTACATTATTGGATACATCATGTTTTATGTTCGTACCCCACACGAAGATGGTCAAAATTTTATTGGCTCAGCATTGTCGATTCTTTGGATGGTATGCAATTTATGTTCAGATTATACTGTAACAAATGCTAATTAACATGAAAATTTATTATTAATATTAAGTTTTTCTGATCTGATGAAATCTAAATTTTATTATTGTTTCGTGTAAGTAACAATCAAAAAGTGAATTTGCTGGTAATAGGATAACAATATAACAATATAAGTTATCACTAACGCAGTTAGGGATATAAGCCTGAAAACCTCGTGATGTAACAAAAATATATTTTTAATCTCTATGAATGGAGCTTAGACATTTAAAATGAGTGTGTAAAAACGATTCATTGAGATCGAGTCTCAAAGCGATCGTATGAGATATGGCTAAGTGATAGTCAACGCTAACAGGGACATAAACTTGATAATTTTGTAGCATATTAAAGACAGATTTCCGATCAAAGAAAAAACGAGGATTAAAGTCTGAAGTCTACTTGCTCAGTAGGGACTTAAGCCTTAAAGATGTTAACATTTTATAAGGAAAAGAGTCAGCACAGCATATGTCACTTAATCAAAGAAATTTCTCAGAAATTAAATTGAGCTTATATTTTCTCATTTTTGTGCCTTACTACGCTGCAGAAAGGTTGAAGAAAGTACAAACTCTCTTTTACAGTTGACGTGACGTATTAATATAAATTTGATAGGCGATTTTACACTTAAAATCCTTTCTACGTTCTTTTTGCTAATTACGCAAATTAAAAATTACATTTATACAAATTATTAACATAATTATTTAAAAATTCTTTCTTTTAAAAAAGTATATTATATTAATTTATAACATGTAGGGAAAGTTATTTAAAAAAATCTACATAACTAATTATACACTAAAATGTTCCATAAATTATATAACGAGAATCCTCTATTACGTTTTTGATTTTTTCATGTCATAAAATCGAATGATTCCTAGATAACATTGTATAAAAATTATATAAATTTAATTGAAAATTCTAAACGCATATTTATTGCTTAAATAATTATTGCATTATTAAATAAATATTAAATGGGTGATCCAATCTTGGAATTTTCTGATTCAACTTTTGGATATAGTTTTGTAATTCGATATTTTTGTTATCAATCATATATTACAATGCAGATATACTTTTATAACGAATTATTTGATTATTGGTCATTGTTCACAAAAATAACTGTTACCAAAATAAGAAATTTCAAATGTAATAATAAATTCGTGTCATGGATTACCTCACATTTAGGTTATACAGATGTTGATAGTTCTTAAAAAGTAGTAACATTAAATTAAAGCATTTTTCTGGTTAATATACCTATAGCTATGTATCGTTGAGACAACATGTTCATTGTCATATGCTATCGAGAACAGATACAGATACATTAATACGTTTACACTCTACATTTGATCACCTTAATTCTAGATGATCTTATGTATGATGGGTATTTTACCCTAATTAACTTTGTTCCATTTGACCTTTAAGGTTGTACACAGTGTTCATGGCATCATGTTCAAAGATTTGAAACAAATTTTGAGAAAAGAACAGTGTGATGCTTCCATCCTATTGACAGCAAATGTACCATCTGCTAAGAAAATTATAGTTCATGGTCCGCAAGATCCGGATGCTGGTGGAATACCCTCTCAATTTCCAGTACAAGAAGATACACAGTTTTGCCAAATTCTCCGTGAATCTCTTGACTTTTTTGGCATCGAGGAGTCCAAGCACAAGGAGTATTTTCTGGTCGACCATAAAACCCGTAAGAATCGAAACAGTTGCAACAGGATTAATGCTCGTAATAAATAATATATTTAATATTACAGATCAAATACATAACCCGTCGTCCTACGTGAGAGACTATTACTTTTTCAAACGTTCACAATATCCACAACTCGAACTTGTACACATGGAACCCGAAGATGCTTTCAATGCTCTTCAACGACAAGAGTTGGTGCATAAATTCGTCGAAACTGGCAAAGTGTTGCTGACCTGGGCTATTTTGAAAAATGTCGATATGGTGGTTCAACGTGTTGTATTTTTGCACGAGGAACTCATGAAGCTGCCCTCGTTTCCTCGTAAAGCTTTAGAAGCTGACCTCGACCTATACAAAGGCGGCGAGTTGGGCAAGGTCAATCATCTCTCTCTCTCTCTCTCTCTCTCTCTCTCTCTCTCTCTCTCTCTCTCTCTCTCTCTCTCTCTCTCTCTCCCTCCCTCCCTCCCTCCCTCCCTCCCTCCGTTATGTTCAATAAATTGTTTCAAATACTTAGCTGAAACCGATTTTTTAGGAGCTTTTGGCCTTGGATGTTATGCACAAATTTATGTGGGTTCGTCTGATAGCTCGAATGTTCGAGGCAATGGCTGGCAATTTTGCTTATTCTGGAGACATTCATTTATTCCTTAATGTTCTCAATGGGACTCTGATTCTGCACAGCGAAGATTCTTGTATATTGCGTTACGTGGTTGCGACCTATATCAATGCAGCGCACAATTTCAAAAATATTTTTTCAACCAATGGCTATTTCCTGATAATGCCTACACTATTGCAACTTTACTCGACTCATCAAACTAATAAGCTCGTCACTACTACAGTTGAATATGCGGTCAAGCAGTTTTATCTGATGAACAGAAAGCCATTTATACTTCAAATGTTTGGGAGCGTATCGGCTATATTGGATACTGACGAGTCAAGTATTATTGGTGAAGCCCATAAGGTAAATTAAACTCAAAATTACTATGGAAAACCGAATGAACACACTATATTTTCAAGATTTTCTCTTTAACTATGGTGTTACTTTTAGGTACCTTCGTCTTGTTTATTCAATTTGCTACTAAGTCTAGAGACACCGTCTCCTGACCCGCTAAACATTGGTGAGCTGGTCAAAGAAGAAAAACCGTTGAAGGCTATAGATTTCTGTTATCACGATGAAAACGAAATGGTAACTATTCTCGATTGCATTTCACTGTGCGTCATGGTGATATCGTACGCCGCTGACTCGGTGCGAGGTCAACAGATGCTGGTAAGCCACTTTGGCTGCATAGTGCATAACTAATCTAGTACAAAAGTATAAGTACATTGTCGATCACTAGGTAATATTGGAAGCCATCATGCCGTGCTACGTGCAGCAAATTCAACTGCCAACGTATAATAAAGAAGGAAAGACGGAAAAAGAAATAATAAATCAACTGGCTATCGCTATGAGAACGTTGGTCAACAACTCGGAAGCTCTCGCCAAGTAAACCTGTTTGGCTTACGTAACAAGGAATTAAAGTTGTTGAAGAGACTAACACATTGTATTTCAGGTACTACAACCGACCACAAAAGTCGAGCCCTGAGCACAAAGGTTCTAGTCAGAGAAATTACGGCAAAGGACCTTACTCTCCCGGCTTTGACTTTGACGAGGAGGCACAAATTGGAAATAAAACCAAGACTACTTGCGACATTGACGACAACGAGTCGCACAAAAACGAGTTCGTCCGGCCGAGGGACACACTGCTCAACATGGTTGGTGAATTCGTGTCTAGAGCCTCGGTGCGGCTGGTCGAATTGAACAAGAAATCCCAAGATGGCAAAAACGTCGAGCTGCTGGATTCAAAATGCCACGTGGTGAGTATATGCAGGATAAGTGCTGGGCTAGAAATAACGATTTCCGCAATAACGAACAAGCTGCCAAATGATTTAGCGCTTGGCGGACATCGCGCACAGCTTATTGAAAATATCTCCGTACGACCCCGAGGCAATGGCTTGTCGAGGCTTGAAGAGATATATGACTGTGATTCTACCCTCGACGGAGTGGGCGAACGATGACATGCGACCCGCGTTGATCCTCATTCTGCGCCGGCTCGACAAGACCTTCAGTAAAATCTACAAGAAAGCCTCGATCCGACGAAACATCAACTGGGAGGCGGCAAGCGACCTGCTGAAGGGGGTCTACGAGACGCTACTCAAGTGCCCGTACGTAGCGCACTTCCAGAACATGAAGGCCCTGCTGAGCACCTGCCAGTCGCTGATAACCGGCGATACCACCGGAGTCGAACTTACCTCTGCGGCCTCGATCGCCCTCATGAGCAAAATACCACCTCAACACTTTTGCTCGACGGTGCTGAAGCTCATCGCGTTGCAAGTGATCTCCCTGGGAGAGGGCTACTCGCTGGAAAACATCTGTGGCCATGCCATGTTCGCCACGGCTTCGCGAGCCGAAAACGTGTTACTCAATCTACTCATGCCCCTGTTTCTCCGAGTGGGCACCGGCCGGAAAGGTAGAGTTGGCCATTTGGCTTGGGCAAGTCGCCTCGAACTTAGCTCGGCCGTGTCGCAATTGTTTGTTGTCAGATGTGCCTAAGTTACGCCAGTCGGACATTTGCTTCGCACTTTCGTCGGTGCTGAACGTGCTGTGGCCAACGGGCACGAAGACCATGCAGACGACGGCGCCGAATCTGAAACCCAGCACGGATCTTCGCGCGGGAAGCTTGACCTTCGCGGCCAGGGACGCGGCGAAAAACCTGACCAAAACCTCAACGAGTCTGTACCAAGTGGCCTTTCTGGGTAAGCTCAACGAGGCCAATGAAGAGGGTGTAAAGGACTGAGCTAGCTTGTCGACGGCGAATGCTTCATTTCAGCCTTGAAGATCATAATAATCTGCTACGAGAACGAGCTGAGGACGGAGTGGCCGCGGATCCTGCGAACGATGAAGTTGCTGAACAAGCGCAACGAGGCCTCGCCTTACCTGTGGAACTTCATTGAGTTTGTGGTGACGCACCGCACGCCGCTGTACATCCAGATGATGCCGTTCGTCATTCAGAAGATCGGCCAGGCGCCGATCTCCGAACACGAGCGCAGCATGCAGGGCGTCATCCGCGACAAGATCAACGGTATCGGCCTAGGCGTGCCCAAGTGTCGGGGCGCCCTGCTTATGGACCTGTTCGCCGAGCTGAACAAGCTCAAGGAGGAGCTGAACGAACGCAAGCTGGACGAGGCGCCAGCCGAACCCAAGCGCAACGTGGCCGAGCAGCAGCAGCAGCAGCAGCCACACGGCGCGGAGACCGCCGGGGCCACACGCACGCAGCGGCCCTCGCTGCTGATCGACCTGCTGACCGGCGACCTGGCCTCGCGCGGCCGCACGCCCGCGGAGACGCCCTGCTCGGCCAGCTCCAGTCTGGCCGCCCAGCACTCGCACAGCTCAGCTAGCAGCGCCACCAAGACCTCGCAGCAGAGCCAGCTCTCCGCCGCCGCCCAGCCCCAGATCAGCCTCAGCGCTCGAGGTAATTTGCGTCTGCACAGCCGCCTCGGAAGGAGCCTCTCCGTTCTATAGCTAGCGCTCTTGCCTCTCGTCGTCTTGCCCTGGAGTCCGGCGGCTCCGCCCGTTCGGTCCCCAATGCCCTCTCCTTTCTTCGAGCTTGTAGCCGCCATCTAGACTAGCTGCTTTCCGGCTTCTAATTGTCCGTGTCCGACTGCAGCCCACTTATCGCAAGTGCTTCGCGTTTTAGGCTCTGTTTCAAGCACGAGCGCAGGCTCTGGGACTCTCAGAGACGCCGCTGACTTGGCGGCCTGTCCCGGCACCTCCAAATCCGACCAGCCACAAGCCACAGGTACCTAACAATCTGCACCCATCGATACAGACAACCCACGCCATTCAAGCCAACATTATTATTGCTGACTCCACACCGCGCCGCCGCTCTTTGGCTCTCCGACATCTCTCGCCGCCTCGCCTCGCCTCGATCGAGCACCGCTCGTTCGTACCCAGTCGTTATTTCCACGTGATTTCCTCGACTTTATACTTCTACTCGCTGTCAGTCATGTGGCTGTGCACAATTGCGCTGCACACATTCGTCCTTATACGTGGACACGACCCGGCCAACTTCAACAACCATCCTAGTAGCTCGCATTATTACTGTTATTTTCTTCCCGTACATTTCATTTTTATTAACTTATTTATTTGTACACTGATTTGTTACACGACCTACTTACGAAACATCGACAGAGACCATATTCTCGATTAAGCATCTTCATCAACGTCTAATGTAATTTTATGTAACCACAAGCAATATTCGCTATTTTTGAATATCTACATTCCATTACGTTATGCGTACAATGGATAGGGACAGTTGGTTGCGGTACTCATTTGCCTGGTTTTCGACATCGAACACATTTCTAACCAGACATCTATCATTATTACAAATTCGCCAGCGTGATCGAGGAAAATGACCTTCTATGATCGCATTCAAGAATTCTAATAGTAGCAGCGAATTATCATCATAGACATTAATAAGATTAATAATTTTGTAAGCTATTCACAATTACAGCATATAACTTCTGACAAGAAAAAAATTTATTAAAGATTACAATAGCAGTTATGATAACAATAGTAATCATAGGAACGTTTCCATTGTTTGATGTTGTCGTTGATAATATTTTTTTGTTTGCTTTGTGGAACATTGCCAACAATAATAACAATGTCCAGTTTTACTATGAATTGCAGCGACTTGTGCGAAATTTTATAAATGATCTCTCACATTGTGTTACCACAATCTTCGACAATATAAAACCGATACCCTTATTAAAAGTACAAATTTCCCTGTAACAAATCGTAAAAATAACTGGATAAAAAAAAATAGATCATGATAGTTCTATTTATAATACGTTAAGTATTAGAGAAAAATATCGGAATATTTTTCGAGCTTCGTTCTTCATACAAAGTCGTCAATATACAATAAATAAAAAATTTTACGGATACGCATGCCTTTCATCAACAAAAAATTTAGATATTATTGAGGTATGTTTTATTATTTGACTACTTATAAAAATAATAAAAAATATTATAAATATAGGTAATTAATTGAAAACAGATAAAAAAAATGAAAGAATATAACGAGATATTTATCGCGAAATCACTAATCAATTATACAGTCCCTAACAAATATTGTTGATATATAACTGGAATCAGTTTACTTTATCACGACCACAGTTGGATAACCATTGTCTATGCTTCGTATAACCATCTTAATTGTGCTCATCTTAGTCTAGTATATTATTTAAATTATTGTACTAATGAACATAAATAAATAGCTATAAGAATAATTGTTCAATCGTGCAGAGCTTATTTGACAAACAAATTATGAACGTAAATAAATTATATAATTAAAATAAGTGTAGGTCTCAAACTTAAAAGAATACATTCAAAAATAGACTATGTACAGTATTTTATTCGATTTTTTTAATTTTTATTAATATTTTTATTTTAAAGCAATCCTGTTCTTAATTAAATCAATTAAAAATTAATTGAAAACATGCACTGAATATACTAATTATTGTCATATTGCTTCTATCTTGGTATCTAAATAATAGAGGTAAGCATATTTAAACAAATATTTTTGTTCCTTTTTGACGTCTTCGTATTCATTATATTTTTTACGACAATTTTTACGACTCATTCACAAAACTTGAGCATACACATTTGACATTTTATCTATTTCTTGAAGTCGAAAATAAATGTAAAATAAGAATTTTTTTGATTAATTAAATTGTATATGAAACGATATTAAAGATTATGATTGTAATATAATGATTTTTTAACGTAATTAATTTTTATACTGTTATTTTGAAATTTTAAGAAATTATGTTTGGAAAATGATAAAAATGCGATTATTCTATAAAATATCCCATTATTTTCTCATACATTTGTTTTATCTCTATAAATCTATAGTTTCAATGATGCATTGAAAATTGCAAGATTTAAATTTTATACTATAAATACCTTATTCAATTTTCGTTATTAATATTGTGCACAAAATTAATTGTATCATACAAACGTATTGCTATATGCAACTTCTGTAGCCCTATATACTTACAATTAACTAACATGTAGACAATGGTAATTTCCAACAGTCGGTATAACAATTTTTGTTGAATATTCACAACATAAAATGTTTTAGTCGCTTACAATATTCATCGCCTTAGTAGTACACTTTTAATGTGATAGCCGATTTATACTCATACATGTGCGCATTCACACTCTCATCAAATTGATCAACTAGGTTATTGAAAATTTAAAAAAGAAACAGTTGTTTAATTTATACTGCACTAAATTTTTTCAAAAATAAATGCTTGTCCTCTTTGCTCCTTTGAAGCAATTCCTTATCTGTGGTTGTGGAATTTTCTTTATTTTTTTTAAATATTTGCCAATCTTATCTATTGTTATAATTAAAAATATATCAAATATTCGATTACACTTCCAAATTCATTAACTACTGTCTAACCTAGACGATAAGGATAATTAAAAATTACAAAATAAAAAACAACAAATTTATAAAATTAGATTCTGATATATATTAAATAGCAACGACCAATAGAGCTTTCACATAAACACATATGATATGAAGAAACGTTATAAACTACGCGTATAATGCGGACTTTATAAAAAAGAACAATTGTGAGAAAAAGCTTGATGTTTTGATTGTTTAATAAAAATGTGCGGTGAACTCTATTACATTTATTGGATTAGTATCATGTCATCTTTTTACTTGAGAATTAAGACCACTAACATTTTCAAAAATGCACATGGTAAATAAGTTAATCTATTTTTCAAATGTCAGACAATAAGAATTGATATTGTCCATTAAGACATTTATATGATATGTAGCCATTAATTGACCTTTCAATAATGAACTGTGTTTGTTTAATATTCAGTGAATAATTAAGAAAGCATGTCTAAAATTATAAAAAATAATTCATTCGTTTTTCCACTTAATATTAGCCTCAGAAGAGTCATAATTTTGAAAATCTTTCAAATGGTTTCAACTTCGAACTCTATTGGTCATATATACGAACGTACGAAAACTACTGTGCACTTTTTTAAAATCATCTGTTGGTGTTCTATGACGCCAAATTTGAGATGTGAAAGTAATCGAATTTGGATATCGAAGTGTACAGTATTTATCGAAAATCTAATTTAACACCACAATCTCATCATCAATTTTCTTCACACAAATATCACTAAAACACAGTATTTTCGTTGTATTTTCCCTACCAGAGTTTTCTAGACTTTTGATGTGGCATGTTTCAGATAGATCCCAATTATCATCTACCACTAACGATGAACATAATAATGCTAAGCCTCATCCTATATTAACTCGTCAAAAAACATCAAAACTGCGCTTTTTTTCTTCTGTAGAACTTAGACATTCTTCAGGTAATTTATAACCTCGTACATTTGTCTTTTTTTAATTTATAGTTTATTTGGCATTATTTTCCTACTAGCAGAAAATAAGTTTAATTTTTTATGCATACAGCTTTAATGCTAAAGCATCATTGAATAAACATTTTGTATGACACTCTGTACTCGTAGCAATTATTATGTGCACAATCATTCGTCACCATTATCTTTGCAACTGAATAGCAATAACGTTGTCACATCACACGCAAACATATAATCATATGTTTGGTCATTGCCTTTTTCGAAAAGAATTTCTCTTTTCGCGTCAATTGGCTCATTCAGTCTCGATTTTTTACAAGACTGACACAATTTCTGGATAATTTATACTTTAAAATATTACAAATAAACGTATCAATGTCATTCGATTAAAAACTACGCGATATTATGAGATGAGTTCAAATTTGACTGTATGGAACTGAAAGCTACTATTAAATCAATGTACTAATGTCATTGTTTTGTTTTATTTATTTATTTATTTTTTTGAACTAATGGAGATCTCAACGCTGAGCACAAAAGAGATGTCAGTTAAAACTGAAATGTAAAATCAAAGCATTACTGCAGTTTGAAGATGCAGAGAATATTGAAACATGCACTTGTATTATAATTTCAGAATATTTTCAAGAGGTCCTCCTCAGTGTAGAAAAGACAAACCTATAATAGTATGATTTATAATTGTTGATGTAAACGAACTCAAGAAAATACGCTCAAAAGAATCAAGTAATGTCTATGTAATGATTTGCTAAAATTTTTTACCATTATAGGTCTGTCTAACGCATCATAACTTCCAAGTGTTTATTCCACCTTATTCGAAAATATCATTTTTAGTAATTTTTAACATTCCACTATACTGTATATAGATACGCAGGTGAATTTCGACGTAGAACGCTCGACGATGCTTAAATAAAACCTTGAAATTAGATAAATCGCCCTCAAGAACATTTGTACAATATGTATATGAAATTAATATCCCTGGAAAAGTCCGCATCACAGGACTACCACCAGCATGTGTAGATAATAATTAGCACTCATTAATGTTTTATATTGAGAGGGCCTGACTAAATGCTTAATGTACAGGTGAAACTGTAACGAGCCAACTTAGCCCAAGTAGTCCAAATGAAGATAGTTCAGGAGAATCACGCCCCGACAAGCCAAGGCTTCAGCGATCCATGGGTCAAAGTAAAAGAACCTTTCGTTTGAGGAAAAGTCGACGAGCTCACGTTGAGGTATATCTCAATTATTATATCTGTATTAAGTATAACACATTCAACTATCAGTCCTACAGCCGAATGTTGATAACGCTTCTATTCTCGTTTTACTTGCCACTTTTATCGTCGCTCGTTCAATCAGTCATAGCATATACTTTCCAGCTCGGTAACAATCTAAAATGGCTCGTTTTAGATTAGTAGATGATTGAAAAAAATTGAAAGAAGCATACAACCGCAACCACTTTCGGCTGCAGTTGACGGATGTTGAGCATGTTGAATCGACGTATGATAGTACAAGCTGATCGACCGGTCATTCAACGCGATGCGTAGCAAGTGACTACGGCAGAAGTGGAGCAGACAGACAGTCGCCTGTCACCCGCAGAGCAGCCGAAGGAGCCGGGCAAAGAGCAACTGGTACCGCCACCGGCTGCAGCCACGAGCACAACCATGACGACAACCATATCGACGAGCGAAGCGGTAGCTACGGTGAGCCAGCTGTCAGACTCGTCCTCTATACGCTCGAGGCGCAGCTCATCCCTTAAGCAGGGAGAGCATGCGGACAAGACGAACAACGGCAACGGAGAGCATTCGCTGAGCTGCCAATTGCAGACGCCGCAACTTCTGTCGCACCACCACCACCTGCAGCTCAGGCCGCAAAGCGACATTTCTTGGGACGAGGACACCTCGAGCACCTCGGGCTACCGAGAATCGTACAGCATGCAGCTGGTCTCGTTGGAGAGCAACGGCAACCGGCTGGACATGGCCCCGCCGCTCGCATCCCCAGATCTGCCCTCCACGAGCAGTACCACCACTAACTACATGATGGGCTTTGACGGCAGCTCGCCGGAGTGCTCGATCAACAGCAACGGTGCCGAAAAGACTGCTCTGCTCACCCAGTCCAGTCCTCGGACCAGCTCCCAGCACTCCTTGCTCATGCTCGGGCAGCCGCCCCAAGACGAAGACACCCTCATCTGATGCGCCTAACCTTGCCTCCTCCCTTCTTCGCTTGGCGCTGTTCCTCCACCCTTATCCATCCCTCAAACTTACTCTAGCTGTACATAAGCTTACTCGCAATCCATACGTTCACACAAATATTATATCTATATCAATATAGATACTGTTTATAGAAGTTTATAGAAATGTTTTACAAACTAATAAATCAATTGAAGCATTATTTCTTGATTATTAATATTTTTTTTCATTCCGTTCATTTCATTATTGAAAGAGAGGTGAAGGATTAATTAATTGATTATCTATCTACATACCATTATAGGTTCTCAGTATCGCATATACGTTCTTTCATACATAGGGTGGACTTTATTGAACCTTTTATTGATGATAAATTGGATGTTTAGAGTGCGATTTTTTACCATGATGTGGTAAATCGATGCTAAGATCAGCGATGACGTAAGACACCGCAGCAAAAAGAGCAGTTCCTTTGTCGAGAGCATGCGGACTTTCAACTGCTATGGTATCGGCATTTGTGTGATGATACCAAAAATATCTGTCATTTTTATTCCAAAGGGATGCACCGGGCACACCTGAATTAACCCATTCTTCGATGTCTGGTCCTCCGTGAGGACTGCGGATTCCCAGCTCTCCCATGGGCTTGAGCAATCTGTGTCATAGTATCATTCATTTTAAATCAGATACTTCAACTTTTAATCTGTTCGTTTGGCTGATAATTACCTCAAAACCCTCTGCAAAATACATTTAACTAATTCCGTTCCAGTTACCTCAAGCCCGAGAGGAGTAAAAGTTCCCATATCGGATTCCATGACTAACTGCAGATTCGACTCTTCTGATTTGTGGCTTCTTATGTACTGCGTTGCACCAACGATTCCCAACTCCTCGCAAGTCCACATAATAGATCTTAAATAAAAATATTAATTTTTTTAATCATTATAATTATAGACGTTGCAAATAAATATTTAATAAAGCGTTCAATCTTTACGTTAAAATTTCAATGAATTTTTGTTACTTGTAAATTTATTTGTTCGCATACTCATCGAGTTTGTTGCTTATATTACCGTATTGTGCGCCTCGCTTGTAAGCCGAGTTTTCTAAGTAAAATTAAGGCATTCCAGGAGATAAAGGCACCTCCGCCATCATCCATAGCACCTTGGCCGACGTCCCAACTGTCGATGTGTCCAGATACGACAACAACTTTTTCTGGTAAAACTGTTCCTGTTACTTCAGAGATAATGTTGCGCGACTCTACGTCGGGATAATTTTTCGCTTCCATTTTAATATTGATCTGCAGATCGTCACCTGCGGCAACCATACAAATATTACATGACAGATATTTCGATATATCGGTTTGCATGCGGTTGATTTACAAACCTCGATCAGCTATTCGGTTTAATAGTGCAGCATCTTCAACGGTAATACAGGCTGCGGGAATTTGCTTGACGTTGCTGGCATAGCTCATCATGCCGGTGTGCGGAGTGTACAAGGAAAACGGTGTCACCGATCGAATGAGTACTGCGACGGCACCAAGTTTAGCCGCCTCCGAAGCACCATGAGATCTGTATTGCACGGTTTCGTTATACGAGACGAACTTCTGATTGTAAACAACGATGCACCCTGGTACCTTGAACAATGGATTGATGGTCAACCGAATTCCAATAATGTAATTAAGCTACATGCTATTTACTTACTTCGGCCGCTCGTTGTTTTAACTCAGCGAAGCTTTTCACCACGATTGCTTTGGCGGTTATGCCTTCCGGTGGAGTGCCAACACTATAACCCAAGCCAAGCATCGCCAAATGCTTAACTCGAGGTTTCATCAAACTGGCTGATTCTTTTCCTCTGAAATCGACCAAACAATTATTACTGCTGACCGTAAACATGAATGGAAATAATCAATGATAATAGCAACGATGATCGCCGCTCGCTTACCTGATCCAATTCGGCACTTTAACCGTCTCCCCATGAACATTATCAAGCTTCAATTTATGCGATCTTTCAAGTACGTAATCGATCGAATCTTCCAATGCTTTAGATCCAGAAATTCTCGAACCAAATTTGTCCACGAAATATGCCAGTTCTTGCCATGTCGCGCCTTTATAAGTACCGTTAACTGCAGCCTCTACGATTGTTTTTACTACTGGCGCGTAAGAATCAATTTCTTTCATCAGGTTCTCCGGCAATTCGCATTCTGCACTTTGTTTTTTATTTAATTTGCATGTGACATTTACCACACATGCGAGTGTTACAATCAGAAAAAGAAAGCTGTTTTCCATCGCCCTACTGTCGTAACATAAATTTTACGATAATACATTGCCAATGCAATCTCATTTACTATGCAATACAATAATCTCCAGCAGACACCAATATCGTATACAACAAGCCATTTCTAGGGGATTTTCTGCTGCTGCCAACTTGAAATGACAAATGCATAACGTAACTTCAAAATTATTAGACAAACTTAAATACAACAAGTATATTTAAAAAAAAGTATAAAAAATATTCCAATTATTAGGCAATAGTTACCACTAAATAAATAAGGTTAAATACAATATTATAAAAAAACGTTTGTAAGTTAAGGTCATTTCGTTATCATAATTGAGATTATGTTGCATGAAATTGCAAAGTTGAGTTATTTTGAATTCGTAAATTGACAGTAATTTGTTGAGTATAATTTTCGTATCTATTGGAGAATCAGCCACAGCATTGCTCGTTGCACACGTATCTACTCACATTGTTTCGACGAATAAGAACTCTACGTGCTTTTTGAGAATGCGAGTTAAAAAAGAAGTGTAAGTCTTCCTAGGAAATGATCAAATTATTGCACCAATAAACCTTATTGGTTTGCAATCTAGTAATTTTCTTTCTATACCTCATCATCTGAAATCAAATCGAAAATAATATTCTCATTACTTTCTGCTGTTTCATTATTTGTAAATAAAAATGTTACTTGGGATTATGATTTTAATGGATAGAACATTATAACAGTTGATTAAATTATCATACTGAAATTCAACCTTTAGGCTGATTATTCAGTGACTATGTTATTCTTTTCATATTTAATCGACCAAAAACTATTTCTGTATCTGAAGCTTCTGGCCATAGTTCTCTTTCGACGCTTTTTGACTCAGCATTTTCATTTGCGTAAACAAGCGTGTTTTTAAGTAACTTGAAAAGAGAGAAAGAGTTCAAATCAAAGCAAGAGGTGTGTATGACAGTAAGAAAGATCAAGATTTGACGGTAACAACACAATTTATTTAGACAAACTTCGCACAGACCGTATCTAGCCGGCATAAAAACCCCAGTCTTAAGTAGGGAAAAGCCTTCCAGATGCGGTACGAAATACAAATCAAACAAATATCGCGCCGTAGGCGGATCACTCGACCATTGTCTAGCATCTCTTACCTTACACGCAAATGGACTTGAATTAACCATGGTTTTCATGACTAAGGGCGTAAGATGATGAGGCATGCTCGCTAATGTAGTGGAAAAGAAATTGCAGAGAAGAAGAGTTGGATTGGTATAATGGCATAAAAGGCCCAAGACGAAACGGTGAAGTACATTCAATAAATTCAGTCGCAACTGACCAGAACGAGTAGTCTCTCCAAGTCTCTTGAGACCGGTATTTTATTGAAATTTGTAGTGACTTTTGTTGTGAAGACTGTTCAATGTGTTCAAAATATATAGACAACCCAAAATACAGCTCCACATTCAAGGACAAGAATCTCACTTCATCGAGTGCGGGGACAATGAAACGATAGCCGATATCGAAGTGGGTATTATTATTTACAACCGTGTAAGATGACTATGTTCAGCTATTGTCATATAATAATTAGCTTTGATGATAACGTCATTGCCGACTCAATTTTGACGTATATAGCGTTTTTTTTTTTATTTGCTACTCAGATTTATATCAACACACTATTAAATAAATAATTTTGCCGATCGTGATAACCTACAGTTACATTTTATATAACAATAAATTTTTTGAGCAGGAAAAGCTAACAGAATTCTAGGATGCCGATATCAAACTATTGCAATGGCATCCCAGTGGATGATGAAACGCGCGTCCAACTACCTTAGACTTGTCTTTAAGTTTTCTCGGTGGCAAGGTCTATGGTTCTCTGACTCGTGCCGGCAAAGTCAGAGGACAAACGCAGAAGGTAAATATTCAATTTTGATATTTTCAGTCGTTGAAAAAATTAGCCTTGAGTTTACGAATGTTACGATTTATTTAAGAAGCATTCCAAAGTTCATTTGATCAAGAAAATGTTACAGTTGATTGCTTCCTTAAACTTTACATTTCCTTCCGCCTGAGACAATTTTATAAATCGACAAAATTAATATCATTTTCATCAAATAGATACACTCATATTGGAAATTCTTTTTTTCAGGTTGAGAAACAACAGAAGAAGAAAAAGAAGACAGGCCGTGCGAAGAAACGCATTCAATTTGTCAAGGCCCCAGCAAACTGGCACAGCCTTAGTACCAACTTATAAACGTTTCCTGTATTGTACGTAAATATTATGTTTTTAATAAAAAAAACAAGTATGTTTCAATATTTCTTTTTTAACAATATTTATGACCGTCGAAATCTAAAAGAAAATAATTTGTAATGCTCACCTCTTATACACGGGCTCTTACGATAGTGAAGGTATCAATCGTGATAAGCTTAGAGTGCAAACTTCGAAAGAATCCACAGAACTTTATAGGAAACCAACACACATGTAAAATATTTATTGCAGAATGTCAATTCAAAGTTGAAGCTACGGTCGCCATTGAAAATTGTATCAAAATCAATTGTAACGTAAATGGAAACTCGAGTTTGTAGGTTACGCGAGGATTTACGTGCGTAACTAGCAATGCTGTATACACGGTGATAATGGAGTTGCTTTACAACTCCCGCAGCTGATTGCCTTAACCCTTGTTAATTAAATCATACCCATCATATAACATATGATTTATACCTAATGGTAATTTAATCAACTGTTATAATGTTCTATCCATTAAAATCATAATCCTAAGTAACATTTTTATTTACAAATAATGAAACAGCAGAAAGTAATGAGAATATTGTTTTCGATTTGATTTCAGATGATGAGGTATAGAAAGAAAATTACTAGATTGCAAACCAATAAGGTTTATTGGTGCAATAATTTGATCATTTTCTAGGAAGACTTACACTTCTTTTTTAACTCGCATTCTCAAAAAGCACGTAGAGTTCTTATTCGTCGAAACAATGTGAGTAGATACGTGTGCAACGAGCAATGCTGTGGCTGATTCTCCAATAGATACGAAAATTATACTCAATAAATTACTGTCAATTTACGAATTCAAAATAACTCAACTTTGCAATTTCATGCAACATAATCTCAATTATGATAACGAAATGACCTTAACTTACAAACGTTTTTTTATAATATTATATTTAACCTTATTTATTTAGTGGTAACTATTGCCTAATAATTGGAATATTTTTTATACTTTTTTTAAAATATATTTGTTGTATTTAAGTTTGTCTAATAATTTTGAAGTTACGTTATGCATTTGTCATTTCAAGTTGGCAGCAGCAGAAAATCTCCTAGAAATGGCTTATCGTATACGATATTGGTGTCTGTTGAAAACCCGCATAACACCAAAACTTTTTAAAAATGTTCCATAATCGTTTTGCTGAGAACCTAAAAGCGTTTAGCAATTTCGATTCCAAAAACGTTTCTAAAACATTCCGAAAAAGAATTGAAAGCGTTTTCAAAGCAGTTTTTCTGGTATCAGTTAGAAAGCTGAAATGTTTGTATAACTAGCTTTTTAAAGTTTGGAAACAAGTAAAAACTGATTTTTCAATCTAATTCGTAGCGTTTTCAACATTTTTTTTAACTTTGTGTACTAATTAAGGGTCTCGTTTTTCTTCTTTCGCTATGTTATAAAGTATCGCCAGGAGAGCTAGCGTTGATCCTTTGTGATTTGCTATATTTAAAAAATTAATATTTTTTAATAGTAATATATCAATATTTATTAATAGTTAGCCGGGCTGGTCCAGTGATTACATCTCACTAGGCAAATGCTAGCTTCCAACGTCCACGACCATGCCCGGTGGAAACGTCGTCCGTCGCGTCAATGCTCTAAGCAGCAACGCTATAACGGACACGGCCAAGAGGAAGATATGGCTCACAAATGACGCAAAAGATAATGGTATTCTGCCGATGTGCCCAACCATTAATCACTTACACACGCCTACACTCACACATTACACAAAGACTTACACACAGACGCCTCCTGGCAAACTGGGATGAATGAATGCTCGGAGACCCTATAAATGGGGCTTCCTGAAAGAGCGAATGCCGGGGACCTCTATAAACGGAACCGCCCAAAAGCGAATGAAGGGGATCCCTTTAATCGGGCTCTCCCCGTGAACGAAGCCCGGTTTTGCCACTATGGGCACTCACAATCACGCACACCTTACAGGGGGAACACTGAACACACATGGTAGAGGAGGGAGGACCTCAGAGGCCGTGCGTTGTTCCAGCGCGGTTCGTGGAGTCGCGACCACGAGGGACCTTAAGCACAACGTGACGAAACAAAAATATGAACATGCACAAAAAAAACATAGATTTACCTCAAGTGGTAATCCCTTCTCAGGGGGAATCCACTCCGGGTTTCGATCAGGTGAAAGCCCCGGTGGCCACGGGCAGCGGCACGGATTTTAAGGGCCGCACTTTGTTCACGGGGAAGAGGAGGACGACACGAAACAACGACACGAACCAGAATCTACTGAACCTACTAAGACGATAGAGGACGGACAGCGTGTCGAGCGGCTAGATTCAATTTCTTACCAAATGTCATTGAACTAGAAAATAAATATGTCCAATGAACAAAATTCTTTTAACTAACTCAATTACAATTTTTATAAAAAATACTCTCTTAAAAACTCAAATGTTTGTTATTTTATCTCAAGTTTTTTTCCCGACATTTCATAAGATAATTCTTTAAACTACAAAAAATATATATATATATATATATTGGCAAATATATATATATATATATATATATATAAAATATATATATATATCCATATCCAAATATATATATATATTTGGATATGGATTCAAAGACATGAAATCACGGACATTTTCAAACTTTGCACAACTGTTGTGCGCATAGAGACAAGCGTTTTTCTTAATTTTTATTTCAAAATATAAATTATATCAAGTGTTATTATCGATTTAAAAATAATGATATAAATGTTTCGAAAGCTTATGAAAAAGTCTAAAGATATAGCACGAAATAAAATACGACGCTGTTTTTGCACTAAAATAAATGTTTATATTAATAATTTAAATAACTAAACAGCAATATCTCAAAAACTATTGATAATGAAACAATCAGATTGAAACAAAAGTTGTTTCCTTTGTTGACCTTTACAAAAAATATTATCATGACTTTTATACGAAAATTGATAATTTGCAAGATATTTGCAATAATAATTTTAAACTTCAACTAGAGCGTTAGTTAAACGTTGTTAATATGCATATTCAAAATCTTCCATATATCGCGGTATTCATCAGATGAAATCATTATTAAAAAGTTATTAACAATTACATGTATAAATAGCGATATCTTGTAAGCTAGTAAAAAGTTTCAAATAAATTTAGCACATGAAAATTGTTAAATTGTTTAATTCGCCATAATTCTCGAGATATTGTCATTCATTTGTTTAAATTATTAATATAAATAATTATTTTTGCGACAATCATTGAATAAAATTTTTAAATTAGTCTACAAAACAAATGTGTACTAAAAAATTTGCTTTCAAAAATTGTATATACCGAGATATCTGATTTGTTCATTTGTATTATAATAATTATAATAAAACAATGGATATTTTTTAGGCGCTTGTTTTATTTAGTGCTAGGTTTTCCTATATGTTGGGCACTTGAATTTTAGTACTGATTCCTATAGAAAAAATCCTCAGGAATCTGTAGAAACAAGAATCAAAAAAATATAAAAATCCCTTCATTGATTTTTTTGCGATTGCTTAAAAAAAAATTTGTTTATTTTTTCAAAAAAATAATTAATATTCATTGTCATATTTCAAAAATGTATGGTTTTATACGTATTATAAAAAAAGTTTCAAATCGATATCTTTATTAGTTTTTGAAATATAATCATTTGAAAATTTTATATTATTTTTCTTTAATTGTTAATAATTTTTGTTATAATTAATATTTCGAGATGAAAATTTGGGGAAAACCTTACTTTTATAGATATAACAGTTGTGCAAAGTTTGAAAATGTCCGCGATTTGATGTCTTTGAATCCATATCCAAATAACTAATATATATAAATTGTAGTTTAAAGAATTATCTTATGAAATGTCACGAAAAAAACTTGAGATAAAATAACAAACATTTGAGTTTTCAAGAGAGTATTTTTCATAAATATTGTAATTGAGTTATATAAAAGAATTTTGTTCATTGGACATATTTATTTTCTAGTTTCATGACATCTGGTAAAAAATTGAATCTAGCCAACAACATTTGATCTAGGATAAATGGATTAGTAATTAGCCAAAATTAAAATTAATAAATATTTTCCAAATTTTGTCCACTTTGAAATTAACATTTATTATCTTTCTTTAATTTTTTAATCATCTTTTTCATATGAATATTATTGATATATATAAATATTAACTATTAATAAGTATTAATGCATTACTATTAAAAAATATTAATTTTTTAAATATAACAAATCACAAAGAATTAGCGCTTGCTCTCCTCGCGATACTTTATAACATAGTGAAAGAAGTAAAACGAGATTAATTAGTAATTAATTAAGTACACAAAGTTGAAAAAAATGTTGAAAACGCTACGAATTACATTAAAAAATCAGTTTTTAATTGTTTCCAAACTTTAAAAAGCTAGTTATAAAAGCATTTCGGCTTTCTAGCCGATACCAGAAAAACCGCTTTAAAATCGCTTTCTGTACTTTTTCGGAACGATTTCAAAACGCTTTCAGAACTTTTTCGGAATCTTATTGAAACTTTTTCGAAATGTTTCCGGAACCTTTTCAGAACGTTTCTTCTCATTGACGGTCAGGGCGGTCATATTTAACGTTTTCGAAATGTTTTCGAAACGTTTTTGGAAATGGTTTAATTTTTAAATTGTAAAACGCTTTTAGGTTATCAGCGAAACGATTTTGAAACATTTTTAAAACGTTTTGGTGTCATTCGGGTAATGCTCATCGTAATCATGTAATATAAGAATATATATTTTCATTTATTTCAAAAATCAACGTGTGTAACACAGTGTATACTTATTAATGTTCTAATTCGGGCTGTTGAATTTAATTTATATATGCATATACGGACCCTCAAAAAAGAAAAAAATTTCTAATTATAATTTATCGTTTTTAAGACTTAACATAACGAAATAACCTGTAAAACTTGAAAGATTGAATGTAACCAGTGACTGTTTATAAATGGTAAGTTATAAAAACCGATAAATTTATAAATTTGCAAATATATAAACGTTATACGGATATAAGTCCTCTTTGTAACAATATTATTTTTGGTAACATACCTTGAAAGATAATCGTCAGCTCAGACTCGATCTACTGTGCTCACTATAGTAGTGACAGTATTGAAATAAAGAGTCCGTTGCTTCCCATTGTCGGCGGCAGCAGCAATATCAATACGCACACGCGTGCAAGAAGTCGCATATACATTTCAAAGAATCCGTTTGTATTGATGCCTTTACAACGATACCAACAGAATGATATTATGAATGAACATATTATGTAGAAGTATCCAAATATTGCCTTCTTCATTTCTCGATCACAGGCCCATTCAGACAGAAATAAAATGTCCATGTACTGGAAAATATATATAATTCTCATATTTAGACCATTTAACATACAATCGCATACAGCATATAAGTCCACAGATCCCAAAATATATCGCGCCTATAAAAAAAGAAGATAACGTAAGTAGATATGATAATTTTTTTGATTAACACGGCTTGACACATCTCTCAGTACAATAAACGAGCCGGCAAATAATATTAAAATAAAACTCAAGTATATTAAATGATCATGGTTATAAAATATTTCAAACGATATAATTAGTAAATAATTTATAATAAAATATATAACTCGATTGCAATGTCTGGATAAAAATGTCGCAATATTTTATGATTAGCTTCAGAAAAAGCAGCGGTCATTTAAATTGTGTCCGCATCTTTCAATGAAATTGTTACCACGTCGGTCTTTATAAAAAGTAGCAATCGTCAAAAATTTGTCTAGCTGCATTAAATACTTTATTTTCATTAATTAATCCGAAGCATTGCTTCTGAAGACTTATTTATATAATTGATGTTACGATAGAAAATGTCGAATTAAGTTTAATTAATATAATTGGTCCTTTTACAGCATATATAAGGTATAATTATCCGAACACAGATTATTGCTGATAGCCTGCAGTTTTTCGATCCCATACCAATGAAAACGGATTAATACTTTTTACAAACCTTTTCCAATCTCAAGATTAATGTAATATTACAATGTTCTAGCACTAAAGTGGTTTAAAATAAAAACAATGAAGGCAAATAAATAAAAATATGACTAACAAAATGATTGAAAATAACTACATGTACACTGAAGAAGAGACCTGTTATTTAATACAAACACCAATATTTACTTATTGTTTACACTTAGTACAAATTATCCGATTATTTTTTAAAGAAAATCATACAAATTTGTTAACCAAAATGTCTAGATGAGATACTATATCATCAAAAGGAATCATTCTCAGTATAAAAATAATTTTTTGTGCACCTAGCAAACTTTGTATTCGAATAAATTATTTTCGTTGCCAAATTTTAAATATCGCGAAATTCGTAAAATTTAGTGTTAAACACTCTACTACTTTTGGTATTTAAAATTTTCAAAAAGATATTAGAAGATATTAGATGTAAATTTTTATATTACATGCGGAAATAACTCATTACGGCGTATAATATATATCATATGCAGTTTTAAGCGTAATGACATAATGGAGTAAACATTTTAATGAATCCCTTTTTCATGAGATTCAGAAGTGTACATATTTCAATATTGTGGAAACATTGAAATAACGCATAATAATGTATATCCGCCAGTTATCCGTACCATTGATAAATAATTTACTTGGTAGATCATATGTTAAGATACGTTTCAATACATTTAACATAATTAAAAAGGATTATATATTATAATGAAATAGCCATTATTTATTCTGTTTAATGTATTTATAGTCATTTCTTAATAATACACTTATAAGATGCAGGTTATGCAGCTAGACTGACAACCTTACAGATTGAGACAAACGAAGAATCATATTCGACAGTCTCAAGCTACGATGAACATATTGAAAAGCCCAATACTGTTCTTTATTGCTTCCTAAAATTAATGAATAACATCACACATGACAATGTCGATAATATTTTTCAGTAGCGATTTCCAAACGATACATTATTTTAACACGTAGTATATGCAATAAATGCAACATTAATTTTGATTTAACAGCAAATGTGTTATCAGCAATATTACAATGGATAATGCAGTGTCACTTGAAAGCACATGCAAATAAATTAATCGCTTATCTATCAGAGTACGAAGCATTTAACTCATTACGCACACAGTATTTATTATTGATCACCAATAATTATATAGTTCCTAGGATTTAAAAAATATAAAAATAATGACGTTAGAGCATTATTTGAATAGAGAACGTACAGTTTCTTCAAATAAAATATTTTTCTGATTTATAATAACTGTAAATGTCTATACGTACGATTATTTTAAAATATAGAACTATATTTTCTATTTTCATTTGTATCTACACAGTTTTAATGGCTTGTTAAATTGAACATCAATTATAGTTCATGTTTGTTTTGATTCATATTTTACAGAATTAGTGTAGTATTATTCGTGATGCAAAAAGCCTCCTGACAATTAAGTCTTTGAAAATTCTTTTGAAATAATAAGAATTAACCAGATGTTTATAGTGATGTTGTAAAAAGAAAACGACTAATCAAGAAAATATATAAACATATTTTATATATTAATCAAGGATTGGAATGCATAAAATTAACGTTCTATAAATCTAATGTTTTTAATCTCACACGATAAAATAAAATGTAATAATCACAAGGTGCATCGAGGCTTGATAAGAATGTTTTACGTGGCTGACTAGAGCACACATTCTCGCAACTATTTGATTTCAATTAATCCGCAGCAAATAAACTGGTTTATTGGAAGCAACTTCCTTTTCTCATTATATTATAATCCATTTGATTGTGAATACAGATCGTTTCATTTAATTTTACTGTTGTTATAAATAATATCTGCTAGGAACAAAGTATGCATTGATTTCATTCTGACGAAACCACCTGCATACAATCAAAGTTTGTTCTTTGGCTTGCTGAAAATGCATTATGCAAGAATTTTCGTACTTATGTAGTAATTAAACTTAAATTAAGTCTATTCCATTTGAAGACTTGAAGAGTATTTGAAAACAAATCTGTATATGCGACCAAGTAGTAAATGGCTAGTTGAGCAGATACGTTTTAGTATAAATAATTATGTCTTGGAAACATAGCTCGAGCAGCCGATTCTTCAGGATCTAACTGGTTTCGATAGCGTCTTGCCAAAAATGCTGCGATCACCTAAAAATCGAATTTGCCATACAATGATTTTATTTATTTGTACAAAAAAATTAAATAAAATGCATTGCTTTGAATGTAGTTTCAGGTAAATGATGATGGAAAATTATGTCTGGTTTGACATTATTTAACAAACATACGCATGATAAAAGATTAATACGAAAAAGAATTTTAATGAAAGAAGTTGTTTAAAAATTTTGACATACTCTGACACACTTTTTCCTACCATTTATCAAAAAAAGCAATTATGATGCGTGAGAAAACCAATGAAAATAAATATTATAATTAACGCACATGTAATTAATCCCAAAGCATTAATTTGAATAGTAAAATTTGAATCATGAAAATTATGTTTAATTGCAAATAATCATAAAAGTAAAGTTTATTAGATTAATTTAAGGCAATGTCTCTGAATGCAATGAAACAACTTATGGTACTATAAATAAATATGCAATGAAATTGATTTATCTTATTATATTCATCATACGCTTTTTAATTTAACTTTTATTTTTATCAGTTTTAAACAATAGTTTTGTTTAAAACATTACTTTTTCAATAAATAACTTTAATCCACCAGTATTCGTTTGAATCAACTGAACTAAACTGAATTGAATGAGAATGTAATGATGAATATGAATAATATAATGTCATTATAAATAATTTTTGAAAAAGCTGAATAATAACACATGACCACAACCAGTTGATGAAATCACCCACCATCTAGTAGGGGGTTCGTGCAGGGAGACAGGGGACATGGCGATGGTGTTAGACTAGAGAAAAGCACTAGGATTAGCTCGCGGATCTTTCTGGTTCCTGTAGCGCACGGTCAACCAAACACCAACAAACTGTAATTCACACAGTTAGTATTTAGTAATTGTGTACTAGTAATGTACAATATTAATTCATTGTTGAACACATAATTGATTCCAACTTAATGTCTAAGTCACAGTATATTTGAGGAATTGATTAGTAATTGTTCAATGACATTGTGAGTTTTGAACAATATACGTTGCAAGTATTGAGAAAATAAAAGTTCATTACCTCGGTAAAGCTAAAGAACAGACCTATGCCACCACATAACTTGAAAGCATAATCAATTGTAGATTGCAATTTTCCCATACATGGTGGACATTGACATGTTTGATCTGTAGAATCTTGACAACAATATTTCTAGATAAGATCAATAAAGACAATATTAGCATAAGGATTTTTTTTTCTTGCATGATTAATAGAAATAATATGTTAGAATAAAAGGCTTACATTCACTTTATCGCATGTAGGATCATTTGGTTTAGCATTTGTTGGTAAAACATTCATAAATTGATCAACGCCATTGATAGTATGGTTAAATCCACAGCAATGAAAAGACTCTTGCACATTCTCTTTTAACGAAGTATCCACCTTAAGCCAACCCTAAAGTAAAGAATGTTTAAAATTTATTTAAATATAGTTTACTTATTAAACTTAATATTAATCAATATTCGATTTGGTCTTTCAGGTTTGCAAGCTTACTTGTTCTGCCAATTGTTCCTGCTGTTTGGTATTTACAGCTAAACAGGCACAAGCAATGCTAAATTGAACTAGAAACAGCAAGAACAAAATAAGCATGTACTGAATTGCTATGTCAAGAAAAAATATGTCATAGCAAAAGCTGGAAGAAGACAAGTGATAAACATTTGAGAGATAATGGAATTGTAAAGACTAATAGTGATAATGAAAAGGATACAAAGAAGAGTAAAACTTGGTGATGTTTAACAGCTCCAATTAAACCAAGTATTGATATGAGAATCAGTATAACTCCACAGGCTAAAATGCCTCCAATAATAGGTAGATTTGTGACCACAGCAGAGGCTCTTCCATAAACAGCAACTCCAATTAAAATAAATGCAACAATCTAGACGAAGATGACAAATTTGTTATCAATAAGTGCGTTTATTGACACGTCTAAGAGTTTAAATTGATAAGCAAGGTAAACAACGACGAGTTCGGTAGAAACGAAGTACGGTGATGAGATGAGTGAAGAAAATCAGCAATGATTGCGATATAATAGGTGCGATGACTTACAATGTAGAGTATATTTAACGCTGTAAGTGCGTTTTTCGAGCAGGTAAATCCTCCACACATGTTGGAGCTTCTTCTTGCCACTTAATCAATGATGTAGCTATATAGATTGACCTACGCAACGAAGGAAATAAGTAAGGAAGGAATGTAAGGAAGGAAGAAATTTAACTACAAATCAAATCAACTCGTATATCACAGAAACATCTGACTAGATGCGAATCTTGATTTTCCGTCGGTGAAGTGGAACCTTGATAATGAAAGAGCTTGAAAAGCTCACAGTAACGCAGTTGGTTACCTATCTCAATTCACACTCCGCACACTGTCCGCACAGTGGGCAGACGACTAAAAGTTGCGTGCGTAGCTCCTCCTCCGCACTACTTCGCTTCGCACCAAGGTCCCCCGTCCCTCCCGCACATCTATAGACTATATAGCGCACTACCAGGCACAGCTTTACCGACTGTCTGTGCACGGAAGTCGGAAAATCAGTGAACTATGAAGAGTAGCGAAACACGTGACCGCGTGACGCGATGGTTGCGATGCCATGGCACTTTGCTTTGGTTGACTGCATTGTGGCGCCTCTGCTGGGAAATTTGCTCCCGCCAATTTCAACGCACATCACATCGACTAAAACATTTCCGAATAGATGAACATTATAATTTTATTGTTGAAAAAATAATCGTTATCAAGATCATTGGACGAATTAACCATCTGTCAATTTTGTCCGTAGAGTCTGTGGTACACTAATCATCTGCCGTACACACATGCTGCCGTACAAAAGCTAACTTCATTTTCTGCAGAAAGTGTCGTGCTTATAAAGCTCGTTTTTCGATATTGTCCATCATTGCGCAGAGGCAAATGTGATGTAAGTAACTACGAAAATTGCATAACAAATAGGAATGATCGTCATTGTGCTTGCAAGCTCCAAAGTTGGATTGGACATTGAATCGAAAATATACTCTAAGAATATGAACATATAAAATTACATAAGTAATCGTCATGAAAATGTCTATCAAGAGAAAGTTTTCATTGTTGACCATTATTCAAGCGACCAACGAATCATGCGCATGGGAAGAAGCCGCAACTGTGCAAGTGGTCTTTCTTACTGCTGAAATTAGTATTGAATTTTTTTTTGTTTAACGTCGCTCTATTTATGCTCCATCAGTGCTAATCAGCGACGAAGGCTTGCAATGCGTTTAAGAACAAAGCACATGAAACTTTTTTCAGTGGTGTTTGCAAGTACTGAATTTTGTTGTATAAATGGCTTTTGTGTGTCGTCCTACAATTCGAACACTGCGCCCAGATTAAACTATACGAGATTATTGAAAATAATCCATAACATCAGCTATGTAATTATGTATAGAATACATTTGATGTGAAACTATCGTCATTTGATACTTTAATGCCAAGAATGCGTTGAGAAGCTGACGTTTAATCAGACATTCGACGGAATGCAAGCTCTCGGTCAAAGCAACATTACGGATCGTATTCAGGATTGAACGGTAACTCGATCATTACTCGAACTTGTAATTGTTCAACGTGTTGGCCTCGAGTGTCAGTGCGTCATCCTTTGTAAACGACTCGAACAATAGCGTTTTGAGAATGAACAATGGCATAGATCATCACGAAGGGCTGAGTGATTACGCGACAGAGCAACACAAAGAATTATTTAGGTAATATCCCTATCGCATTCGTATCAACTTGGTTTAATCGAAAAATCGAGCCAGATAGACGTGCGAGAAAGTGTTTTACCCCGGTGTGGCGCCGAAGCCTCGCTACGCTCGGACACGAACGTCCGCACGAAGCTCACATCACTTGCTCGCACTCCTACCAAAATTAAGGCACAAAAATCACGGAGACGCACAATTGCACAAGTGATGCGCTACTCTGCTCGGAAAGCATTTACCGAAGAATTAGGAAGAAACCGACGAATAAATATGCAGCGAGATGCGGGAGATAGCGCCGAATCGAAGCGGCAATTTGTTGGCACGTGGAAATTGATTGCGCTTTGCAAGACAATCTTATCTGCGCGCTATTTAAAGAACAGCGCTTGCGATCCTACCGATCTAACAGGCCGACTGCAGCCTGACTGGCCGCGAAGAGCAAGTTTGCGCTCGACGGGCACGGCCGGCCGGGGTGCTTGGGCGAGCTTGCGAACGCCGGGCCGGCGAACAGCCGAGCGCCGCGAGCGGTAGGAGCAGATAAGCGAGGCTCGCCTGGCAATCGCGGAGGCGGGCACGAGGCCGGCGTATTTAAGAGCGCCGGGCGCCGCACGCGGGAGAACGAGCGCGAGCGACGCGCGCGGAGCGGCAAGACAGGGCGGACATGGTGCAGGCCGAAGGCGGACGCTGGCCCCAGTACGCGGCGGCGATCGCCGGTGAGTAGGGCCGGGCGGGCGCGGCGCGGCGCGCGGCGGCTGACGCTCCGGCGGTTGCAGCGACGCTGAGCCTGGCGGCGACGGGCGCGCACATCGGCTGGACCTCGCCCACGCTGCCGACGCTGAAGGCGCTGCCCGAGGGCCACCCGCTGCGGCTGAGCTCCGGCCAGGCCTCCTGGATCGCCTCGCTGTACCTGCTGGGCTCGCTGCCGGGCAACGCGCTGGCGGCGCCGCTGGTCGACCGGCTGGGCCGCCGGCGCACGCTGCTGCTGGCCGGCCTGCCGCTCGCGCTGAGCTGGCTGCTGCTGGCGCTGGCGCGCCGGCCCTGGCTGCTGTGCGCCGCGCGCCTGCTGGCCGGCCTCGGCCAGGGCCTCGTCTACGTGTGCTGCCCCGTGTACATCGGCGAGATCGCGGAGGCGCGCGTGCGCGGCCGGCTGGGCTCGCTGATGAAGCTGATGGTGAGCGCGGGCGAGCTGTACGCGCGCGCGCTCGGGCCCTACGTCTCGTACGGCGCGCTCGCCTGGGGCTGCCTGCTGCTGCCGCTGGGCTTCCTGCTGGCCTTCGGCCGCATGCCCGAGTCGCCCTACTTCCTGCTGACGCGCGCGCGCCGCGCCGAGGCCGAGCACTGCCTGCGCCGGCTGCGCGCGCCCGGCTGCCCGGCCGAGCGCCTGCAGGAGGACCTCGACCAGCTGCAGAAGGCCGCGATCCGCGAGCTGGGCGCGCGCCGCGGCGGCGCGCAGCTGCTGGCCGCGCTCTGGGCGAACCGGCGCGCCGCGCTCGTCTGCCTGGGGCTGCAGCTGGCGCTGCAGCTCGGCGGCCTGGCCGCCGTCGAGTCGTACACGCAGGAGATCCTGGAGTCGGGCGGCCTGGCGGCGGCGCGGCTCAGCGCGCCCGCGGCCGTGATCGGGCTGTCGGCGGTGCAGCTGCTGGCGGGCCTGGGCGCCGCGGCCCTCGTGGACCGCGTGGGCCGGCGCCCGCTGCTGCTGGCCACGGCGCTGCTGGCGGGCCTCTGCCTGGGCGCCTCAGCGGCCTTCTTCCTGCTCGAGCGGCGCCTCGGGCCAGCGCTGCCGGCGCGCGCCGGCCTGCTGCTCGTCGGCTCGGTCGTCGGCTACGAGCTGGCGGTCTCGCTGGGCCTCAGCCCGCTGCCCTACCTCATGCTGGGCGAGCTCTTCCCCGTGGACGTCAAGGGCGCGGCCGTGTCGCTGGCCAACCTCTGGGCCTCGCTGCTCGCCTTCGTCGTGTCCAAGATGCACCAGGTGGTCGCCGACGCGGCGGGTATCGAGACCAGCTTCGCCTGCTACGCCGCGGCCTCCTTCCTCGGGCTGCTCTTCATCTTCTTCTGCGTGCCCGAGACCAAGGGCAAGTCGCTGCTGCAGATCCAGGAGGAGCTGCGCTGCGGCTCGCGCAAGCCGAAGCTCTGCGCGCCCGGGGCCCAGTCCCGGATCAGCACCATCGCCTGAGGCGCGTCCGCGCCGCACTGGCCCTGCTCGCGAGCTCCTGCTTTGCCCTCGGAGCTCCGGAGCCCGCGCGCCCGATTTCAACTAGTGAGACTGAAATTGTATTTATACTCTCTGTAACATATGTATTTATTGATATGTGCTGCCGCTTGTATCACGGCGAAACAATAAAAATCACTGCTCCTTCAATCGATCTGTCTCTTTCGCCTCGACTGCCCTCTCCCCGTGCACGTTGCTCGACCTTGCAGTAGATGTTTCGTTTATAACGTGCAATCAATTTTGATGAAGATGAGCTACCGGCTTCGGCATTCTAAGTAACGCGAGAGATCTCCAGCGGCATCGACGTTGCACGAACTCGTCAAATGAGACAGAAAATCAAGTTCTCGTTGTACAAGCGCGGATTATATTTCTAACGGATTATCGAATGATTTGCGGGAAATCGCGAGCATTTTTATTACTTGTCAGGCACAGCATTGTATAGCTTTCTTCGGTTCGTCAGCCGTATAGTTTTCGAGTTAAAGTCAAAAATCAATAGTAAATCTTCGTGAAAAGTGCTGAAAGTTTTAGTGGAAATGGCACGCTAATGACTACACGTGGGGCATTCGAACTCTGATAAGATAAGAAACTGGGTCCAGAAATTTCTAGTTGTCTTTCTTATGTGATAATTTTGATGATGACATTTGTGAAGCTCATAGCGCCTCTCGTTACATAATTACTTCATGAGAACTGCTGGATTGAGATATTCCAAATATTCATTCATCCACGATGTTTTATCGAACACTAACTGTTTGCGTAAATTACTAGACATTTTTAATTATTACACGATGAAATATCCGTTGATCGTTAAATTTTCAATAAATAATTGTTGATCGTTCGTAAAATGAAAGAATAAGCTAAGATCTTGCATTATCGCAAAGTAGATGCAATAGTTGCAAGTCTTGTGTGCTTTATCCGGTCGGCTTTAATGCATTTAACGGAAATTTTTATAAAAAAATGAACAGAATTACTGGAAGACTGTCAATTGTAAACCGTACTGCGGTATGTGCTCCGTTATCGTAACATTTTCTAATGTGCAGCAAATTGTCGGGCAACGAAGAACTGAGAAATGAGTCAATGATCTGCGCGTAGATAAAAATTGAAATGCTCAAAATGCTCCACTGAAGCAGTGGGTTTTGAAGAAATCAATCGTTTGGATAAAATACGTACACATAACGTAGTAATGCGAATGGGTTGATTATGTTTTAAACTATTCAAATTTTTATTAACACACCAATACAATTTTGTCCACGGTTGTACGAATACAAGCGTTTTGCTTCACTCGGTTCCTACGTGTTTTCTACGCAATATTTAGGTACACTTCATATTTAATCACGCATCACTTAAGTACATACTTATATCTTAATTATTTTAGTGACAATCGTAATGCAACGACCACCGGTAAAATGTACATTACACGTTATTGACATGATAAGCGAGCACCTTGCCACAACAATAACTTACATCTTATCTTTCAATGCACTAAAAAGATTCAATTACAACGAGCCTACGCACAGTTTTGTATTTTTAACAATTGACAACAACAATTTTAGAGCCGCGCGTGGCGATCCTCCACAGTAAATCTTCTGCATTTTTCTATGCTTACAGTGGTTAACAATTACATTGTAAACTATATGCTTGTTCCTATTATAATCAAACATTAATGTTCGCTTACAATTACCTGCAATTATATACAAGTATCAGATCAAAGCACGCAATTCGACTCTTTCGAAGCCCCGAACAACCATCGTTGCAAATGCTACTGCGCCACATACCGCCAATGAGCTCTATTTAGTCCAATCAGCTCATTCACCTCCGAGCGGATCCATATTCTTGAATTGTCATGTAGTTTTCGTATTGACGTTATGAAAATGTAGGCTATAATTTTTAACCTGCTTTTTCAGACTTGGAAAATTATCATCGCACACTAATCGTGACTCAACAAGCTCAAATGCGTTTCGCGTTATGTATTAATGATTTCTATAAAAGTGCGATCTATGTGGATCACACCGCCATGCCAGTTGCCAGTAAGAACTCAGCTATCATACTATTATTACATCCTGTTCAAACGTACACTCGATGTAATGAGTTAAAATAAACAGAAAACTCAAATATTTCTTCTCATTGGATTTTCTCATCGGCTGAGGCAGTATCGTGCTTTGGAATCCAATAGAAGTCATCATAGATTGTTCGTGTGCCTTTTGCAGAATTTTTTCGTTGTTTGACGTACAATTGTTCTTTCGTGCGATCAATTCTCTTGCAAATCATGTAGACGTATCGAGTTGTTAACAAAATAAACCGCAATTTTGAACGAATAATGACGCTCGGCAGCTACATCCATTTAACAAATACTTTATATTTTTATTTCAGCGACACTCGGATTTGCGCGGCTGTTCGCCCTGTACAGTAAATATTTTGCGCTTGCTTGGTACGTACTTCAGAAGACTCGAGTCAAATGATTCTACTCGTTCGTTGCGATAAAAACCGTCAAATACGCCATTGAAATATGATTATCTATTAACGGTCATTGTCAGATACAAGATATAAAATGGGCGGGTAAGAAAGAAAGAGTAACGGTGAATAACATTTGACAACAATACAATTTGTTTTAGATTTCGTTACTGCCTATTGGTTTTTGATATTCTATTGCACAGTTACTGATAGCAAGTAAAAGCAGTCTGTCACCTGAACGAGCAGAAGCAAAACCTCACGTAACCCATTGATTGACTTGTTTACTGCTCTATACAATTAACTTCACATTAATTCACGTTCATAATTATCAACCATTTTATATGAAATATAGTCAGTTATTCTTCCGAAAAGGCCATTCGGACGCATATATGTTTGTCTTCAAAGCTTGTACGCTAACGAGAACGCGAATATTTCAGTAGAAGTCGCTTCATTTTGAAATCAAGACAATTCATCTAAATTCGAAACTTCAGACTGCTCATTTTTTTAGTATATTGTCGGGATATTCTAGAAAGTAAAGGTAACAAACCAAACGACAAAGTTCTACAGCTTTTCAAATATTCGACGTCGAAGGCAACATCGACTCTACTAGCTGATATTATTCTATACTCGGGCAGCGCTACTTTCTAACATCGACAACTGAAAAGTTCCCTACAACTTTCTAGTATACCTATATGCGCAAAAGTAGCCGCCTAAGTTTTCTTTCGTGGCTAACTTAATTTCCAATACTAACGCTCGCTAATCGCAACGGAACCGTTTATGGAATTATGGAATTGCAGCGAACAAGTGGATGCTTGAAAATCATGTCTCGATGCAGCGAACATTTTTTTTTAATTCGAATAACTTTTCCACTGTTGAACGTGTGGATCGCATTATCTATGAACAATTGTTGTAATTGAATCATTGGTAAACAAATAATGTATCTTCTTATCTCTACTTGCACTATCCTCACAGAACTCACTCGGTACGTATATGTGTGGATGCCATTAAAGCTGGAAGTGTAACGAGCTTCAGCTGTTTCACTGACAGGGTACAAGATACTTATACCTTCGCGAGTTATTGCCCGTTAAAGTTAAATTAGCTCCGGTTATCCGTACAGCAGTAATGTTCTATTAATAGCAGTACATGTTTGATGAAAGTTATCCATGTTGCACGTTAGAAATTTGAAAAAGATTTAAATGTGAAATTGATATTGAGAAAAGCTCGTAGTAGTAAAAAAGAAAGCGTAAGACTGAAAATTTTGAATAATATATATCATCACAGTAGGATTGACAAGGTCAACTGAAAGCAGTTGCTATTAGAATAGTGCTGTCGAACGCATCAATATTGTCTACTGATTTGTACTTCGAAGTTGCCTTGTATACATTACGTTATATCGCTAACTAATGCTATTGACTCGACCGGTAATAAGAAATAAGAGAGCACTCGATGTCGGGACTTGGATTTGACAAAAAGTGCTAGGGAAGATTCTATCGAGGGAAACTGTTTATTTGTCATGTTAATCGAGGTGAAAGTCTTGATACGAGTACAAGAATGCGACAGATATCGAAAAGTAAAAGCTAGCTGTTAATCATCGCGACCAATGGGTCTGAGAGGAAATAGAGGAAAGCGAAGAGAAAAAGAGTAAGAAAGTGAGAAAATATAAAAGGTGCGAAGGTGCGAGTGATACCACTGTTCAAACAGACGAGAGAGCGGCGAGCGCTAAAACTTGTGCGTAAACGCGACACGACGCGCGCTCTGCGGAGCTGCTTGTCGGCTCGGATAATTTGGCAGAGCTGAGCCGATCAAAGCTGAAGCAGCTCCACTGTACACAAGCTGTCTGTCGAGAAATGCATCCGAGGTTGCCGCAGGTTCGACGGACAGAGCTGCGGCTGGTGCCTTCTCCCTCCGTGCTCCGCTGGCCATCAGGCTGCCCAGCTCGACGCCGGCGTGCCGTTCGCCGTCGGATCGCGGTTCAGCGAGTTCAGTAGTTCTTCGTTCTCCTTGCGGACTGAAACCAAAGCGAAAAGCCAGACTTTAGACAAGCGATCGGCAGCTCGCGAGCTCCCCCCTCTTGGCAGCCTGTGCCGGCGATCAAGAGCGAGTTTTTCGCACTGGGGCGGGCGCGACGCTGCGTCGCACGCGATTTCGAGCTGTTCCCGAAGGATTACAATGCGAGCGGCGTGTCTCACCTTGGAGAACACCACGGCCACAGCCAACTCCCAATGTATTTTTCCACCTACAGCTTTTGTGAAAGGATATACCTATAAGTCGAGCATTTGCACGCACGTTTTGCTGTAGCTTGTGCTCGCATTTGCACGACTCTTCTTTGAAACTCGCTAATAATATTTCCCCTCACAACTGCACGTGCACGACAAATCAATGTAGCGATGCAGTGCGCACTGTTCACGCGCAGCCTAGCATCAACTCCAATATCTTCTGTTCCGGCAGTTGAACTTGTTATTGTTAACGCGACCGGCATCGAACAAAAGTCAGTCCACATACAAGCGCTGTATTACAAGATTTCAAGCAAATCCATTTGGCGAAAATGTTGTATTGATAATGTTTAACCGATTGGGAAGTGGAAAATAATTTAAAGTTGACCGACTACCCGCGTAACAGTAGTCTATCAGAGTCGCATATATTTGCACTATTGCACGAATCCCACGACGGCGATTGACATTTTATATCTTCTCTGTCTAAATTCATCGAGGATCGACAAATATTTACTCATTTACTCGGGTCGTGCAACGTTCCGACGGCAGGACTTTGCTCAAGTTAGCTGAGGCAAGAGAAAACAAAGCGTTTATTGACATTTCAGTGATCAATTGTAAGGGATCTTTTGAGAGTCTGTGCCAAAGAAAAGCAGAAAGAGTCGCCTTGTGAGAAAGACGACGTCACGCTTTACTTGACCCCAATATTACCAAAAGCGTTTGCTTTCTTCTAAACTCTTAGTCATTATTCTGGACGAAGCTCTTTTCCAAAAAAGTATTAAAAAATATTTGACCGTGAAAACATTCTTATTGATGTTGGCGTGGCGCTGATAAATTGTCATTTCCATAGTTGATGGGGAAAAAAAGATGAGAGCCAAATCTCATAAAATTCTCGCTCTTAATTTCCACGTATCGTATATACTTCGATATTTCTCTGAAAACGCGCGCTCTTATTCGATCAATAGCGACGACTTGTCAATAGAGTTAGAATATATATTGTTCAGCGGTGACTGCTCAAGAATGTCGCCAGAGAAAAGTGTGCCTGCGGTGGTTGATCAAACGGAAATGACGAAAGCGCATGATTAATAAGTAGCCCGCAGCACGAGAGGATGCCAGGTGTGACGAGGACAGGGGCTGGCGAGACGAGGCAGTACGCGTAGCAGCGAGCTAAGCGCTCCCGTGCCGCTTTCCACTCTCGAAGAAATCGTGCACGAGTTGCGAGACGCCTGCGTTCGAGCCCGATCCTCCCGACCACTCGCGGTTCATTGCCAAAGCTCTCGACGTTCGAGCAACGCGACACCGGCTCGAATCGGGGAAGTAACGAGTGGCCCAGGCGGATGCGTAAGCTTTGCAAGCAGCTCCCTCGTAAGCGCACTTTCTCGCAACGCCCAACGAGCCTTATCGAGGGCGGGGTGAGCTCGAAAGCAGCCGACCATCGCAATCGCGAAATCGCGAGAACGGCGAGCTTGCAAGCGCTGAAGCGAGCACTGCGATTTGATCACTTACGAACGTGGCATTGCTCGGGTCAACTGCGTCCTGTTCCAAACAGACAACGAAGACGTGCTTGAGTAGCGGACGTGGACTGGTAGCTGGGCGAGGGCAGGAGCGGAACGGCGGCTCGAGCGCACTCGGCGATCGATCGGCGAGCTCCGTGGTGCGCTCGAGCGCGCGGGACACAGTGGGGACAGCGGGCGGGGACTGGCGGATAATTACGTTGGCGCGATGCTCGGCGAGCTCCCTGGAGCCGATAGGTGGCACGTGGAAGCTGCTGTGGGTGAGCGTGATGACGACCGCGAGCACCGCGGCCAGCAGGATGAAGGCGAAGATGGCGAGAAGGACGAGGGCCACCAGCCGGTGGCGGCGGGTGCGCGCCTCCTCGCGCGGGTCCTTGAGCGCGGCCTCGAGGCCGCCGGCCGTCGAGGGGCTGCGCGAGTTGTCCGGGCGCACGGAGTCGCGCCGGTAGTGAGCCGCCGCCGCCGCCGCGCTGCTGGCTCGCCGGCCGCCGCTGCCGCTCGAGCTCTTCCTCTTGCAGGCCGAGGCGCGGCGCCCGTCACCTGCGCCCATAACCAACGCTTGCACCCGCGATCGCTGACATTCCCCCTTGCGGACCGAGTGCACGCGGCGCGCGCCGCGAGGCTCGCCCGGCCCGAGGACGCTCGGTCTTGCCGATGTACGCGCGACAATCTAGAACGTCGGCGTCATTGTGTTCGCGCGCGGCTCTCGGCGGACCAATCAACGGTGGTTTTCAGTTGGCCTGGCCTGTGGCGCACATCGATTGCGGCATCATAGTCAACTCGTAAGGCCGTTACGCGGAGCTAGCCGAATTTTTCCTTTACGCTAGTTCGTTTCGCCGAAAAATTCAATGTTGCTATCTCATATATATAGCAATGAATACACTATAGCCTCACCTATTATATCCTACTATTTGTTGATTAGACCCGTGCGTAAAAAATGCCGGCATTGAGCTTATTTCGTTTGCTCCATTTACCAAGTCGAGATTATTTGTTCTACCTCATGCGAGTGAGCTACACGAAAAATACGATATGAGATGCTACAGGCAGGTTAGAATTCGAAGATAAGCTCTGGTTGGTTTGACGCCTATCAAAATTCAAGTTTCTCTTGCACGCGTAGAGATGCTTAAAGGAGAACGTTTTCGATATTCTTCGGAGATGCAAAAGAGGAGAATGTCAGCAATAACCATTGATCGGATCACCGGTGAACGAGCAAGCAAAACAGGCGATTCACGGAATACTCATATTGCACAAAAACACGGAATGCATTTCGATTCGTGCGCACGGGGATAGTCAGCGAAGCTCGAGGGGAAAACAGAGACTTTGGCTGCGGCTGAGTTTTCTACAAAAAAGCTTACGGGCTCTTCTGATTCCTCGATCACATCCGAAACATCCGAAATCTTAGCAAGCGGATATGAGCGTTTCAACACTTGACAAACTTGGAAGCTCGAGTTTCCCAAAATGATCGACTGGAAGCCAATGTAATTATTGCTAAATACCACGTGGCGAAGAACTCGCCAGGTCGAGCAATCGGGAAGACCTCGTAGTTGGATGTTCCTCTGAAAACTGTGAATCGAATACGCGGAGCAGGCGGAGCCAGCAACTCGCAAAGATCGCGCGGACGCGGTCGCTTCAGCCGCGGCCGCTGTTCTCCCCCCGGCCCCGTCAGCGAACGCCGGCGCGCGCGCGCGACTACCTAGGGGCGTGGGCCGGGAGCAGCTGTTGGCGCGCGAGCGCTGCTGCTGGTGCGCGGCCGAGCCGCGCCTGGCCGAGGCCTCGGCGAACTCGGAGGGCCGGCGCTGCCTGCGCGGCCGCGCGCCGCCGGGCCCGGGGCCGCACTGCGCGCAGCTGCTGCGCCGCGCGACGGCGCGCACCCGTCGCGGGCGCTCGCGCTGCTGGCTCGAGTCCGAGCCCGGCGACGGCAGCTCCGCGCCGCTCCGTCGCGCCGCCGACAGCTCGCCGACGTGGAACAGCGTGCGCTCCTCCGACGAGCTCGACAGTCGGCGCCGCGAGTTGCAGTCCAGCTCCGTGGCGTCCATCGCCGGCCAGGTCGTGGCCGCTAGTGGCCTACCGCGTCGACGGCGGCCATGCTCCGGCGCCCCGCTGCAAAGAAACAAAAGCAGCAGCAGCGAGTCTGGCGGCTCGTCGCCCGGCTCGCCCACCCCCTCCGTTGGCTAGGCTCGGCTGTTGGGACGAATGCCGTTCGCGCGAGCAGGCGCCTCGCAATGCCTTCGTTTGAGCTGTCTCCTCCGCAGCGCGCTTGCTGCGATCGCGTCTAATCCGCCGATCGGCCGTGCAGTCAACAGCGGCTCGCGACCTCGGCTAGCCTGACCGGGCAGTTGCCGTCCGCGTCTTCGCACGAGTGTTACTCTCGCTGCCGGCAAAGGTCGATAACGCAGGCAGAAGCACGCCGACGGAGAGGGAGATAAAGGGAAGAGCATTCCGATCGAGAGCGAGGTGATGCACAAGTATTAGGCAGAAATAAAGGGTGGGCGGTGGGAATCGGAAGCGCGAGGGCTGCGCAAGTCGCGCGCCAACATTGTTCTGGAAGCGGTCGAGCTGAAACGAGGCCGTGGGCGCGGAAGAGTCGCCGAGTGGAAGCGGCCGATAAGCGAGCGCGGCGTGCCACTGGAAGCGCTAGATGTGCAGCTGGCGAGCTGCGCGCCGCCGGACGAGTCGAGAGCGAGTGGAAGGAGCAGCAGCGCCAGTGGCAGCGCGGGCGCGCGAGCGGCACCGGGCGGAGGCCTTGGGCGCCTATTTTCGGAGCTGCTCTCTGCTGGCGAATCTGCGGCTTTACGGGGTGTCAGGTCTGCTACGTGCGCGTCCGCGCGTCCTCGAGCATGCGCGCCCGCGGCGAGCAACGACCGTCGCCGCGGCCTGCATTTCCTTTCGCCGTCCATTCAACTGGCTTCGCTGTGTCCGCGCGCGCGTACGCGCCCACCGCGCAGTCCTATCTGCGGCGCTCGCGATTCGCTCGGCTTCTCGGGATACGATTTAGCGGCCCGACGCCGAGAGATGGGAAGAGGCCGTGGCGCGAACGCCCACCGACAAATATACTGCTCCCGGTATATTGGTCGGGCCAAATATTTGGATAACCCGTGCGAACGCGCGCTGCTCCAACGAAACATTCATTGACGAGGATGCCGCTTCTTTCAGCGCGCGTCGCTCTAGCGGCAGCAAACTAGCGCGAAGCACACTTTCGCTCGGCGTAGTGCGACGAGCGCTGGCAATGAGTCTGCTTTCACGGAAACGGGCTGGAAAGAATGCGTGCGTGCCGCAACGCCGTGTTTGCGCGCGAAAACTCTGCAGGCGGCGACCTTATGAAACTCGTGCAGATGCGCTTTTCACGCGCGCCTCGTCTGCTGGAATTTTTATGTTATACCGCGAATCTCCAAGCGACAACCACGAACAGCAGAGAGAAACGAAAGGAACGAGTGAGAAAAGCCAACCATCCGTCGGACTATGCACGAGTAGGATTGAAATGCAACGATCTCGTCTGCCTGCGCGCTCCTTCATCGATAAGGCCGGCTTGAAAAGAACAAAGAACCGGATCTCATTTGAAATGCCGCTGTCAGCCTTTCGATGAGCCTACCGCAGTGAAAAACGCGACGGAGAGTCGCGGACGAGAGGGAAAGCAGCGGCGGAGTAATGCGCGCACTGGAAAAATTGGTGCGGCAAAAAGATAGGTGCGTTTGTCGAGTGTCGTCATAGGAAGAAAGAAAAAAGAAAGGCATTATTCGCGCCTGACAATTGACAGATTGCAGACCGGCTGATAAGCGCTTTCTTCGAGCAAACAGAGGGCAGATTCGAGCGAGAGCGAAAGTATCGAACTGGAAGAGCTGCCGGCTGATAAGCGGCAGCAAGCAAACAAGCGAGGAGCCGTCTGGCAGCAGGCGAGCTGGCAAACAAAGTCAAACGAGACTCGCTGTGCGCACTCCACAGACTCACGGGCTTTCGAGGTAAGCTCGCAGGAGGCGACAGCCTAGCGATTCCTCGGTTGGGCTAACCAGTCGAGTGCCGTACTCGAAGATCGTCGGTCTGGGTTTCAGAGTGGGTTCGCTCCGACTCGGTACTCGGCTTTCCGGAACTCGCGTCGGCATTTCACCGACGGACGGCCCCGACACAACGGCTTTCTCAGCGTGGGAAGCAGCGGCGCGTCCACGACCACTTCGTTTGGCGTTCCGCGATTGCCACTCCAAGTATTTTAACTCGGCTGCGAAGCTTGTGACGAATAATGCTAGTTGACCCAGATACCATCCTTCGGCCTTCTTCGTATTTCAATGGCGCAGACGCGCGCGTAAATCATCATTGTCCAATAATCATCGTCCGGATTTCCCCGTTCTCACTAGTTCATTTAGTACTACGCACTGTCGGACTTCCTTGCTGCCGCAAGCTCTGCGTTTTTATTCATTGCGCAAGCTCCCGCTTGTGGCTAGTCTCCTATCATCAGTGTTTGTTGTTATTAGTATTTTCTTCAGAATTTTCGACTGCATCTCACCTGAATTGACATTTGTCGATTAGATGAACGTTCCAGTATCTCGTATATTGTTTTCAAGAGAGCTATCTGGCCTGCGACTCGTTCGAATCAATATGGCGCTAGGTGCGCATCTGCGAACATCTGTTATTGTGCAGCTACAACAAACTCTACAATTAGCATGAATCAACAAACAGCATTCTATTGTGCCGCATAGCCTTGGAGAGATAAAACTTTCGCGATGCCTCAAGTGCACAACCACATCGCTGCGAAGACAATGCGCGGTTCTAGAATACTTCATTAATTGCGAACTAGACATCGCCTACTTTTTTATTCTCTTATCCGTCGTTCGCATCTGCGTAGCAACCAACGGGTGTTTTTATTTCTTTGGCTCACACGCCAGCGAAACCGTATTTGAAAGCTGACAAGTAGTAAAATCTGTTATTTCTACTCTGCTTGACGTGCTCGAAGCTCAAAAATAGACAGCTCTTGCGCAACCAGTTCCAATTTTTCAATAGGTTGTATGGCTTTGCCCGAATGGACTCAAAGAAAAGACGCAACTGCCTGCGCCCACAATCAGTCAGCAAAGACGATTCGGATTCGCTTGCAGGCTAATTCAATTGTGACCGAATTCAGCCAGTCAGGGTCGATTGGCCACGTGAGACTGGCGAGTGCGATAAACCGTTTGCGTAATTAGCAAAGCCACTTGCAGGACGGCCGGTTGTCAAGTGCAGCGCGAATTTACGAGGACGACTCTGTCAGAGCTGCGAGATCCCAATCGCGTGCCAAGTGCCAGGCGCGTGCGACAAAGACAAACGGAGAAATGATCGATCAGGCGAGGCTGCACTGCACTCCGTTTATCGGCAGTCGCTCGGTCCAGCAAGTATCCGCTGATTCCGCCTGTCGTCGTTCGAACAACCCGAAACGCAGAGCCGAGTCGAGCCAGCCTGATTACGCGCTTGCTCGACGCAGCCGCCGATTTCAAGCCAGTTAACCAACGACGCCTCGGAGCTCGCAGCAGCTCGGGCTCCAGCCCTCGTGTTGGACGACTGAGGCCTTGTTCACTGAC